TACCTAGCACCATCACATACACACTGTAACAGTTACCTAGCACCATCACATACACACTGTAACAGTTACCTAGCACCATCACATACACACTGTAACAGTTACCTAGCACCATCACATACACACTGTAACAGTTACCTAGCACCATCACATACACACTGTAACAGTTACCTAGCACCATCACATACACACTGTAACAGTTACCTAGCACCATCACATACACACTGTAACAGTTACCTAGCACCATCACATACACACTGTAACAGTTACCTAGCACCATCACATACACACTGTAACAGTTACCTAGCACCATCACATACACACTGTAACAGTTACCTAGCACCATCACATACACACTGTAACAGTTACCTAGCACCATCACATACACACTGTAACAGTTACCTAGCACCATCACATACACACTGTAACAGTTACCTAGCACCATCACATACACACTGTAACAGTTACCTAGCACCATCACATACACACTGTAACAGTTACCTAGCACCATCACATACACACTGTAACAGTTACCTAGCACCATCACATACACACTGTAACAGTTACCTAGCACCATCACATACACACTGTAACAGTTACCTAGCACCATCACATACACACTGTAACAGTTACCTAGCACCATCACATACACACTGTAACAGTTACCTAGCACCATCACATACCACACTGTAACAGTTACCTAGCACCATCACATACACACTGTAACAGTTACCTAGCACCATCACATACACACTGTAACAGTTACCTAGCACCATCACATACACACTGTAACAGTTACCTAGCACCATCACATACACACTGTAACAGTTACCTAGCACCATCACATACACACTGTAACAGTTACCTAGCACCATCACATACACACTGTAACAGTTACCTAGCACCATCACATACACACTGTAACAGTTACCTAGCACCATCACATACACACTGTAACAGTTACCTAGCACCATCACATACACACTGTAACAGTTACCTAGCACCATCACATACACACTGTAACAGTTACCTGCACCATCACATACACCACTGTAACAGTTACCTAGCACCTCACTACCACTGTAACAGTTACCCTAGCACCATCACATACACACTGTAACAGTTACCTAGCACCATCACATACACACTGTAACAGTTACCTAGCACCATCACATACACACTGTAACAGTTACCTAGCACCATCACATACACACTGTAACAGTTACCTAGCACCATCACATACACACTGTAACAGTTACCTAGCACCATCACATACACACTGTAACAGTTACCTAGCACCATCACATACACACTGTAACAGTTACCCCTGCACCATCACATACACACTGTAACAGTTACCCCTGCACCATCACATACCCACTGTAACAGTTACCTAGCACCATCACATACACACTGTAACAGTTACCTAGCACCATCACATACACACTGTAACAGTTACCTAGCACCATCACATACACACTGTAACAGTTACCTAGCACCATCACATACACACTGTAACAGTTACCTAGCACCATCACATACACACTGTAACAGTTACCTAGCACCATCACATACACACTGTAACAGTTACCTAGCACCATCACATACACACTGTAACAGTTACCTAGCACCATCACATACACACTGTAACAGTTACCTAGCACCATCACATACACACTGTAACAGTTACCTAGCACCATCACATACACACTGTAACAGTTACTAGCACCATCACATACACCACTGTAACAGTTACCTAGCACCATCACATACACACTGTAACAGTTTACCTAGCACACATATCACATACACACGGTAAACAGTTACCTAGCACCATCACATACCCACTGTAACAGTTACCTAGCACCATCACATACCACACTGTAAACAGTTACCTAGCACCATCACATACACACTGTAACAGTTACCTAGCACCATCACATACACACTGTAACAGTTACCTAGCACCATCACATACACACTGTAACAGTTACCTAGCACCATCACATACACACTGTAACAGTTACGTAGCACCATCACATACACACTGTAACAGTTACGTAGCACCATCACATACACACTGTAACAGTTACTAGCACCATCACATACACACTGTAAACAGTTACCTAGCACCATCACATACACACTGTAACAGTTACCTAGCACCATCACATACACACTGTAACAGTTACGTAGCACCATCACATACACACTGTAACAGTTACCTAGCACCATCACATACACACTGTAACAGTTACCTAGCACCATCACATACACACTGTAACAGTTACCTAGCACCATCACATACACACTGTAACACTTACCTAGCACCATCACATACACACTGTAACAGATACCTAGCACCATCACATACACACTGTAACAGTTACCTAGCACCATCACATACACACTGTAACAGTTACCTAGCACCATCACATACACACTGTAACAGTTACCTAGCACCATCACATACACACTGTTGATAGTCTATAGTTATAAAGTGGCTTTCTCTCCCCATTTCTTCCTTCTGTCCCCTGTACCTAGAACAGCAGTATGGTTCCTCAGTGGCTTTGCACCATACAAACACACAGTAAGAATGTGTCTTCAGGTCTGACCTCAGGGGATTTACATGTCAAGAGGAATGCTGAAAATGTTTAGGTGTGGTTTGTTAGAGGTGAGAGTTATTGGCTGGAGTGCGTACTGTACTGGATGTAATCTTCTCCTCTAGTTGACGTCTAACTCTGTGGTTCTGTTGCTATGAGCCCGGCACTAGCAATGCCAAGGTCATGGGTTCAATTCCTGCAGGGATTACATATTAGTATTAGTACACATATTAATGCACAAAACATTTATGCAATCACTGCAACTTTGGATAAAATCGACTGCTAAGTGGCTTATCTTAAATCCTATGGTGATATGAAGACATGATTGTATGATATACCGTGTATAGGTTAAAATGTAGTGTACTAATCGCTGATTGGAGACACACACTGTTCATTTTCTAACAGTAACCAAACTGATACTTTCAGCTCCTAGGAAATGAAATGCTACCCCGTGGTAACTAGGGGCAACAGGAGAGAACTGTCCTCTCAGAGATTTACTGACTCCGGAGTGCTGAGGAGTTGAATGTCACTGGGTTTACTGCGCGTGTGTGTGTGTTTGTACTGCGTGTGTTAGGGCTTTACACTGACCTTTTTTACAAGGAGCTTGGGTGCTCCTACGTTGTTGAAAAATGTAGGCGCACACAAAGAAATGTAGGCGCACAATTAAAATATTTGAGGTAGTAAAGCTACAATCCTTAATTTATGTAGGCGCACTGGTGATCCTAAATTAAAATTCCAGGTCGCACAGCAAAATATTCAGGAGCATATGCGAGTAAAATGGTGGCACTGTAGAGCCCTGTGTGTGTGTGTGTGTGTGTGTGTACTGTGTGTGTGTGTGTACTGCGTGTGTGTGTACTGTGTGTGTACTATGCATGTGTGTGTTTGAGTACTGTTAGTATGTGTCTTCTGTGTGTGTTTCTCCTCTCCTCCTCCTCATCAGGACCCCAGTACAACCCTGAAGGCACTTGATTATGTGTATCACGCAGCTCTGAGGTCTATTACCAACCAAAAGCGTCTGACACACCGCTGTGACCTCTATAGTGCTGTTGGCTGGTCTTCACACCACTGTGATCTCTAGTGCTGTTGGCTGGTCTTCACACCACTGTGATCTCTAGTGCTGTTGGCTGGTCTTCACACCACTGTGATCTCTATAGTGCTGTTGGCTGGTCTTCACACCACTGTGACCTCTATAGTGCTGTTGGCTGGTCTTCACACCACTGTGATCTCTATAGTGCTGTTGGCTGGTCTTCACACCACTGTGATCTCTAGTGCTGTTGGCTGGTCTTCACACCACTGTGATCTCTATAGTGCTGTTGGCTGGTCTTCACACCACTGTGATCTCTAGTGCTGTTGGCTGGTCTTCACACCACTGTGACCTCTATAGTGCTGTTGGCTGGTCTTCACACCACTGTGATCTATATAGTGCTGTTGGCTGGTCTTCACACCGCTGTGATCTATATAGTGCTGTTGGCTGGTCTTCACACCACTGTGACCTCTATAGTGCTGTTGGCTGGTCTTCACACCACTGTGACCTCTATAGTGCTGTTGGCTGGTCTTCACACCACTGTGATCTATATAGTGCAGTTGGCTGGTCTTCACACCACTGTGATCTCTAGTGCTGTTGGCTGGTCTTCACACCACTGTGACCTCTATAGTGCTGTTGGCTAGTCTTCACACCACTGTGATCTATATAGTGCTGTTGGCTGGTCTTCACACCACTGTGATCTATATAGTGCTGTTGGCTGGTCTTCACACCACTGTGATCTCTATAGTGCTGTTGGCTGGTCTTCACACCACTGTGACCTCTATAGTGCAGTTGGCTGGTCTTCACACCACTGTGACCTCTATAGTGCTGTTGGTTGGTCTTCGTTGACTCTACGTGGGCTTAAACATTGCTATACTATTATCTATAAGGCCATTTTGGGAAAACTGCCACTTTATCTCTGTTCTTCTTTGACAAGGTCAGAAAATAAATACCAGTTACTTTTAACGGTTCCTAAAATCAGAACGGATCATGGCAAAAGGGTTTTAGCTACTCAGCTCCATGGTCTTGGAATCCTCTCCAGACCAGCTTGATACTCCAGGATCTTGTTTCCTTGGAGGAGTTTAAAGGTTTGGTTTACTCACATGTCACTGAGACATGATTGTCATTAGGACTTTACGTGGTGGTACATATGATAGATTTTTATCTATGACGCTTGTATGGTTCTGGAATTCTTATGAATGTGTGTTTACGTAAAAAATATGTTTATGGTGTCTGTCTGTAAGTTGTTACAGTTTGTCTGACTATATGTCTCAAACATTGTTCCCCTCTGCTGCCGTCTTGGATGGACCAGGTCTCTCTTGACAAATAGATTTTATCTCAATGAGACTAACCTGGATAAATAAAGGTTAAATAAAACCTCTCTCTACTCTGTGTCCTCCAGGTGGATGGAGGCGTGTCTGGATGAGGAGCTCCCTCCCACCACAGAGCTGGAGGAGGGGCTTAGGAACGGGGTGTACCTGGCCAAACTGGGCAACTTCTTCGCACCACGAACCGTCTCCATCAAGAAGATCTACGACCGCGAGCAGACCCGCTACAAGGTGAGGACTGAGGAGATGCGCTGCAGACTGTAACACACACAGGCGCAACCAGACGCACGCACGCGCGCACACACACACACACACACACACACACACACACACACACACACACACACACACACACACACACACACACACACACACACACACACACACACACACACACACACACACACACACACACACACACACACACACACACACACACACACACACACACACACACACACACACACACACACACACACACACACACACACACACACACACACACACACTCCAGATAAGTGCAGTTCAAAGGGATAAAGATGTTATTCTATTCAGTCAGTTAACAGAGGAGGCAAACTCCCTTTTGCCCAACCCACCTAACTCACACTAGACTATCCATCAAGGTGTAGGGGCAAGTAGCTGTTAGAGCACGGCGCTTGTAACGCCAAGGTAGTGGGTTCGATCCCCGGGACCACCCATACACAAAAATGTATGCACGCATGACTGTAAGTCGCTTTGGATAAAAGCGTCTGCTAAATGGCATATTATTATTATTATTTTACACTGATCTGGGGTCAGTTTTGCATTTTCACCATAATTGGGGGAGGCGAAGCTGATCCTAGATCTGTATTTAGGGAAAACTTCACCCCGGAGCGCCTCTCAATGCCACGAGGAACAGACCCACATCAATGGTCCTATTCAATCAAAACAGGTTGACTTAAGTTAAATGACCAAAAACAGACATTGTTATTGCACTGCAAGAATGCGCCCAAGAAATCCCCCATCTCTAGTCTTACCTTTGAAATGTTTTAGTAGAATAGGACAGGCTTGGTTTACTCCATGGGGAAGGAATGAATGACGTGTTTGTTTATGTCTGTCACTGTGTGTATTACTGTAACTGTAATTGCTTGTTTGTTTATGTGAGTGCATGTCAGTGTGTGAATGCATGTCCATATGTGTCAGTGTGAGTGCATGTCCGTGTGTGAATGCATGTCCATATGTGTCAGTGTGAGTGCATGTCCGTGTGTGTCAGTGTGAGTGCATGTCCGTGTGAGTGCATGTCCGTGTGTGTCAGTGTGAGTGCATGTCCGTGTGAGTGCATGTACGTGTGTGTCAGTGTGAGTGCATGTCCGTGTGTGTCAGTGTGAGTGCATGTCCGTGTGAGTGCATGTCCGTGTGTGTCAGTGTGAGTGCATGTCCGTGTGTGTCAGTGTGAGTGCATGTCCGTGTGTGTCAGTGTGAGTGCATGTCCGTGTGTGTCAGTGTGAGTGCATGTCCGTGTGTGTCAGTGTGAGTGCATGTCCGTGTGTGTCAGTGTGAGTGCATGTCCGTGTGAGTGCATGTCCGTCGTGTGAGTGCATGTCCGTGTGTGTCAGTGTGAGTGCATGTCCGTGTGTGTCAGTGTGAGTGCATGTCAGTGTGAGTGGGTGTCACATTGTAACTCACTGTGTGTGTGTTTCATTCCTGCAGGCCACTGGGCTTCATTTTAGACATACAGACAACGTCATCCAGTGGCTCAACGCCATGACCGAGAAGGGTCTACCAAAGGTGAGTGGTGGGCTTACAGACACACAGACATAGCAATCACTGTGTTCTCTAACAATACCAGGGAAGGGTATTTCCCCCTGTACCACTCCTGTGTAACAAGCTGGGTCTTGCCTGGATCCCACACCCAGTCTCTGACTACTGAACCCTCAGCCCTGGGTCACGTTCAATAGGAACGAACGGAAGAGAATGTTTTGAAACATTCACATTCTTATTGGACAAGTCCTGGTAATATGTAATTAATTTCCTAATGTTTTAGCATGTTTCGTGCCTAATGAAGATGTCCGTCTGTCCTCAGATCTTCTATCCAGAGACTACAGACATCTACGACAGGAAGAACATGCCGCGCTGCATCTACTGCATACATGCTCTCAGGTACACACACACACACACACACACACAATGAATTGGAATTGCTATACATTTTCTGACTACTCTAGGAAAATGATTTATCACAAACCAGACAAATCTGGTCTTTCTCCATCTGGTCTGTTTGCTTTATTTTCCTATTAAAATGATATTAAACCCAACCCTGATCTGCCTCTTAGTTGAGGTTGGAAATATGTGTGTACAACAATGCTACCTGAACTCTCACAGAAAAGTCACAATAGACAAATTGTCTATTGGAATACTTGTGAGAAATGGTCCTACTCAATACCGCCGGTATGTGAAGGTGAAAATGTAGCCTGGGTTTGTACATGTTTATGCTCAGGATTAGGTTTTTGGGAACCTGACACGTTTACGAGGTGAACGGTACGGTTTTGGACTGGTGAGGTGTTCAGCACCAAGGAGGAAAACTCCAACCGCCTTAGCCTAACGATGGTAGAGTTCACGGCCCAAATGGCACCCTATTCACTATAAAGTGCACTACTTTACACCAGAGCCCTATTGGATGGCAGCCATGGTCCCCTATTGGCTCTGGTCATTTGGGACGCAGCCAGAGTCTGTGTTAATAGAACATTCCAGCTGCATGTAAAATGGATGCTGAGCCTGTTCAGTCCAGAGGCTGGAAATCTACTGATCTACGTCCAAATGGCACCATATTGCCTTTGTAGTGCACAATATAGGGAATAGAGTGCCGTTTGGGAAGGGTCCTTAGCCTTTAGAGTCAGGAAGTCAACACTACACAACAGGACTGGGTGACAGGGTAGCAGAGGGGGGGAGGAGGTGTGTGTGTGTGTGAGACCTCCAGCTCCAGGCCACGCTAGATGACTTTACAATGCCTTCTGGCCCCCTCCCCAGGTGGCACACACATGCCAGAACACAGCTCCAACAACATGTTTATGGCTTACGCTTAACATCCAATAGTTTGTAATGTACACTAGAGGCCCAGAGTGTGTGTGATGCTACTTTCCTCTCAAGATGGCCATCATTCCAAAGCTCAAACCCACAGTCTGTAAAGGCCTCTCATGTTGGCCATCATTCCAAAGCTCAAACCCACTGTCTGTAAAGGCCTCTCATGTTGGCCATCATTCCAAAGCTCAAACCCACTGTCTGTAAAGGCCTCTCATGTTGGCCATCATTCCAAAGCGCAAACCCACTGTCTGTAAAGGCCTCTCATGTTGGCCATCATTCCAAAGCTCAAACCCACAGTCTGTAAAGGCCTCATGTCTCCTGTGGAAGTGGCTGTTCTTTCCTGGCTCTGTTGTAATCCCCTTTCCTCTTCCTCCTTGTTCTCTTCTCTCATTCTCTCTCTTCCATCTTCTCTCTTTTCCATCTTCTCTTCCATCTCTGTTTCCCCTTCCTCCATTTCTCCTTACCACCTCATCACTCGATCTCTCTCTCTCTCTCTCTAGTTTGTACCTGTTCAAGCTGGGTCTAGCCCCTCAGATCCAGGATCTGTATGGCAAGGTGGATTTCACAGGTGAGTGTGTCCCAAGACCACACAGAATTCAATATTCTTTCACTCAACTCATTCAGTTTGCCATTGTCCATTTTGTTGTTTTAACGTCAAACAGTAAACACGACCAACATAACATCACTGTTACACATATGATGTTAAACATGATTTGTGGTCCTCTGTGGCTCAGTTGCTAGCCAAGGTCGTGTGTTCAACTCCCGCAGGGATCCCATACACATACGAAACATGGATACACTCACTGTACTGTAAGTCACTTTGGATAAAGTGTCTTCTAAGTGGCAAACAAGCATAGTGTTGGCTCCAGTCCTGAGTTCCAGTTCCACAGGGAAAGGTTTTTCCAGGCAGCTAGCGACAATGTGAAAGTCATTAGTGATTGTGAGTGTTTCCTGTTGCTGCTCTGTTCTACTCTGTCTGCCAAGCTCCCGACCAGGGGTATATTTTTATCACACTCAGGCCAGGAACAATAACTGTCTCCTGTCTGTGTTTAGCCTCTAATATACAGTTAGCCTACTATTTACAGTATGAAGGGTACTTTACTCCATTATGTACAGTGTTTGGTTCCAACCTAGCACTAAAAAGTCTGATTCTACTAATTGCATACTCAAGAGATAATTAGTAGAATCTATAATCTACAGTTTGAAGGGTACTGTACTTTAGCCAGTGTGGTCCAGGGTGTGCAGGGTGTGGTTCCAACCTAGCACTAAAAAATGTGATTCTAATATGATACTAATGACCTAATCATCAAGACGTTTATTAGCTGAATCATGTGTTTGGGTGCAGAGCTGGAACAAAAGCCTACACACTGTCTAGTGCTCCAGGACCAGAGTTGGTTGTCACTACCTTGGCCATTACCTCCACCAAGCTCTCTCTACAGCCTCTAGCCTCAGTCTTAGCCAAGCTCTCTGTCCAGCCTCTAGCCTCAGTCTTAGCCAAGCTCTCTGTCCAGCCTCTAGCCTCAGTCTTAGCCAAGCTCTCTCTCCAGCCTCTAGCCTCAGTCTTAGCCAAGCTCTCTGTCCAGCCTCTAGCCTCAGTCTTAGCCAAGCTCTCTCTCCAGCCTCTAGCCTCAGTCTTAGCCAAGCTCTCTCTCCAGCCTCTAGCCTCAGTCTTAGCCAAGCTCTCTCTCAGCCTCTAGCCTCAGTCTTAGCCAAGCTCTCTGTCCAGCCTCTAGCCTCAGTCTTAGCCAAGCTCTCTCTCCAGCCTCTAGCCTCAGTCTTAGCCAAGCTCTCTGTCCAGCCTCTAGCCTCAGTCTTAGCCAAGCTCTCTGTCCAGCCTCTAGCCTCAGTCTTAGCCAAACTATGCAGAGAGACACCTACAGCTCAGGGAACACACACTCCCCAGTGCCTGATAACATTTCCCTCCAAGTGCAAGAAATACACACACCTTTTGTACCATGATTATGTTTACAGAATAACCCCTGCCCTCCTCTTTCACTACTCCACCAAACAACTGTTGATAGACCAAATGCATAACCAACTCTCTATTCCTCTCCCTCCCCTCCTTTATACCTCACTCTTTCCCTCCTTTATACCTCACTCTTTCCCTCCTTTATACCTCACTCTTTCCCTCCTTTATACCTCACTCTTTCCCTCCTTTATACCTCACTCTTTCCCTCCTTTATACCTCACTCTTTCCCTCCTTTATACCTCACTCTTTCCCTCCTTTATACCTCACTCTTTCCCTCCTTTATACCTCACTCTTTCCCTCCTTTCCACCACTCAGAGGAGGAGATTAACAACATGAAGAGTGAACTGGAGAAGTACGGAATCCAGATGCCCGCCTTCAGCAAGATTGGCGGCATCCTGGCCAATGAGCTGTCAGTGGATGAGGCTGCATGTAAGCACCTATCAGATATCACAGAGGGGCGGGACTAAGGGTCCGTTTGGTTGAGTGGCAGGACTTTGGTTGATTTCAACACCTCTTTATAACAAATTCAAAATGGTGTAATATTATGTATCCTTTTAAATCTATTCATGGAAATATTACACACATTTCTGGTAATTGGTTAACTCTTCTCCTCCTCCCCTCTCCTCCTCTCTCCCCTCCCCTCTCCTCCTCTCCCCCCTCCCCTCTCCTCCTCTCCCCTCTCCTCCAGTGCATGCGGCAGTGATAGCCATCAATGAGGCCATAGACCAGGGGGTTCCCGAGGGCACTATGGCTGCCATGCAGAACCCCAACGCCATGCTGCTTCAGATGAACACCTGCTCTGCCCAGCACTACCAGGACATGCTGCACAGCGCCAAGGCTGAGAAGGTGGCCAACTCACGCAAACGGGTATGAGAGCTTGCTCGAAATACTGGAATAGAGAATGCCAGTAGCAGGGTTGGGGATTCCATTTCATTTCTGTCCATTCAGGAAGTAAACCGAAAGTCAAATTCCAATTGTTCTCACTAATTCAGTTTACTTTCTGAATTGACTGAATTGAATTGAAATCAACCCCAATCTTGGCTGCTGTAGTAATAGTGTTTTCTTTGAAAAGTGTATTTGGGTTTCTCCAGCTGTATAGTTCCTGTAAAGCAATGACCCTCAATCCTTCTCCTGGCGAGCTGGACTACAGTAGTGTTTTGGCCCCAGCTAAGTGACAGCACACCAGATTTTAAATAATCAACTGAGGGTCAACGCCCTGAACCTGCAATACATTGTTTCTCCTTGAGCAGCCTTGAGGATCACTGGTTTAAATGTACAATGTTGAAGTCACAAATCCATGCATCTATGTGCAACAGAAAACTAAAATGTGTGTATCTTATAGAGCAAGTTCAGGTGGTACCTCTCAGTTTCGGAGTGTTTTGATCCGTTTCATGCCTATTGAACACTACCATGATGTTGCTGCTGCTGTTGCCCTATCCCTCCTACTGTAGCTGGGGGAGAACTCAGACGCAGAGAGAGACGTCTATGAAGAGCTCCTCACACAAGCTGAGATCCAGGGCAACGTCAACAAGGTCAACTGTGAGTAACATACACACCCACTTTATGTGATGAATCCACATGAGAATGTAGACATGCCTTTTTAAGTGTTTATTGAGTTTGTAGTCAACAGACTCAAAATGTCAGATCTTACTTCCCTGTGCTGTTCATTTTTCGATTCACTGAAGTGAGTGAGTTTTGCCTCGAGCTGATCTGGGGTCAGTTTTAAAACTGATCCTAGATTTGTACCTAGAAGAAACTCCACCCCAGAGTGTTCTAATAGGTTTTTCTAACACTATCCTCCCTCATCAGTGACCAGTTCCCTGAGTGCAGCTGAGCAGGCCCTGCTGAGTAGTGATGAAGACAGGTTGTACGAGGCACTCCGCTCCCAGGCTTTGGGCCTACAAGGCCTGCAGGCCCAGAACAAGGGCTGGTACCTCAAACAGCTGATGGCTGCCCGCGAGGACAAAGAACAGGTACAGTAGGTGGAATTATTCCTGATTCATCCCACGTTGGGAAATCGGGAATACCATTGCTTACATCAGGGTTGTGTTCATTAGGGCATGCGACAGACATTTGACAACGTTTTGAAACAGAAAATGTGTTTGTTATTGGACAAGGTGTTTCAGTCTGTTTTCTTCCTTTTGGTGCTTAATGAACACAACCCTGGTTGCCTTTCCCTCCTGATTTTCTATGTGATGTTAAGTCGCTCTGGATAAGAGCGTCTGCTAAATGACTAAAATGTAAATGTAATGTTGATCACCTCCCCCATATCTTAGATGTGAGCATGTTCACAGATTTACACTGTTGAAAATAACACTGAATATTCCACAACCCTGTTTTGAGTAGTTCCTCTTTCTTTGTCTTTCCCAGAATTCTCCAGGGGAGGCGCTGACGAAAGATGAGTTGCAGACTGGAGTAGATGCAGCCAATGGGATTGCAGCAGGCTACCAGAAAAGTAAGCAGCAGTCACTGCTCGTTCTGGGGTGTATTGTCCCCTTGGTACAGATCTAGGATCAGCTTCCCTCCCCCAATCCTAAACTTAAAGGGCCAATGCAGCTGCTTTTTATCTCAAAATCAAATCATTTTTGGGTAACAATTAAGTGCCTTACTGTTTTCAATTAAAATAGTCAAAAAGAAACAAAAATAGCTTCTAACAAAAATAGCTTCTAAGCAAAGAGCCATTTCTCAAGCAAGAATTGAGACTGTCTGGGAGTGGTCTGAGTGGGGAGGGGAAAACTAGCTGTTATTGGCAGAGAAGTTTGGAACTCTCTTTCTTATTTGTCTATTAACTAATTTAGCGCCTGGTGATGTCACCAGACAGGCCAAGACTCCATCCCACCAACCAAAACAAGCTGAAATTTCAGGCAGTCTTTTCAAACAGCTCTTACACTAAAATGACATTATCATAATTTTCACAGTATTATTCCAAATTCATATATATACAGCGGGGAGAACAAGTATTTGATACACTGACGATTTTGCAGGTTTTCCTACTTACAAAGCATGTAGAGGTCTGTAATTTTTATCATAGGTACACTTTAACTGTGAGAGATGGAATCTAAAATCCAGAAAATCACATTGTATGATTTTTAAGTAATTAATTTGCATTTTATTGCATGACATAAGTATTTAATACATCAGATAAGCAGAACTTAATATTTGGTACAGAAACCTTTGTTTGCAATTACAGAGATCATACGTTTCCTGTAGGTCTTGACCAGGTTTGCACACACTGCAGCAGGGATTTTGGCCCACTCCTCCATACAGACCTTCTCCAGATCCTTCAGGTTTTGGGGCTGTCGCTGGGCAATACGGACTTTCAGCTCCCTCCAAAGATTTTCTATTGGGTTCAGGTCTGGAGACTGGCTAGGCCACTCCAGGACCTTGAGATGCTTCTTACGGAGCCACTCCTTAGTTGCCCTGGCTGTGTGTTTCGGGTCGTTGTCATGCTGGAAGACCCAGCCACGACCCATCTTCAATGCTCTTACTGAGGGAAGGAGGTTGTTGGCCAAGATCTCGCAATACATGGCCACATCCATCCTCCCCTCAATACGGTGCAGTCGTCCTGTCCCCTTTGCAGAAAAGTATCCCCAAAGAATGATGTTTCCACCTCCATGCTTCACGGTTGGGATGGTGTTCTTGGGGTTGTACTCATCCTTCTTCTTCCTCCAAACACGGCGAGTGGAGTTTAGACCAAAAAGCTCTATTTTTGTCTCATCAGACCACATGACCTTCTCCCATTCCTCCTCTGGATCATCCAGATGGTCATTTGCAAACTTCAGACGGGCCTGGACATGCGCTGGCTTGAGCAGGGGGACCTTGCGTGCGCTGCAGGATTTTAATCCATGACGGCGTAGTGTGTTACTAATGGTTTTCTTTGAGACTGTGGTCCCAGCTCTCTTCAGGTCATTGACCAGGTCCTGCCGTGTAGTTCTGGGCTGATCCCTCACCTTCCTCATGATCATTGATGCCCCACGAGGTGAGATCTTGCATGGAGCCCCAGACCGAGGGTGATTGACCGTCATCTTGAACTTCTTCCATTTTCTAATAATTGCGCCAACAGTTGTTGCCTTCTCACCAAGCTGCTTGCCTATTGTCCTGTAGCCCATCCCAGCCTTGTGCAGGTCTACAATTTTATCCCTGATGTCCTTACACAGCTCTCTGGTCTTGGCCATTGTGGAGAGGTTGGAGTCTGTTTGATTGAGTGTGTGGACAGGTGTCTTTTATACAGGTAACGAGTTCAAACAGGTGCAGTTAATACAGGTAATGAGTGGAGAACAGGAGGGCTTCTTAAAGAAAAACTAACAGGTCTGTGAGAGCTGGAATTCTTAATGGTTGGTAGGTGATCAAATACTTATGTTATGCAATAAAATGCAAATTAATTACTTAAAAATCATACAATGTGATTTTCTGGATTTTTGTTTTATATTCCGTCTCTCACAGTTGAAGTGTACCTATGATAAAAACTACATTCCTCTACATGCTTTGTAAGTAGGAAAACCTGCAAAATCGGCAGTGTATCAAATACTTGTTCTCCCCACTGTATATATACACAAAAAAATCAAATATTTAACCATTAGTGGGGAAACTGACCCAAGATCAGCGTCTAGGGGCAACTACCCTACTCTTCACTCAATACCAACTGGTGTTGACGTTATCCTCACCATGACATGGCCTGCATTAGAACACTGCAGTTTACCCTTTAGTTACCCACATCACTGGCTGTTTTATGTTCCTGTGCTGATTGCAGTATGCTTATCACATGTCCTTTCCACATTGGTTTTTAACAGACTGGCATTCAGGCTACTTTGTGTTCCGTTTGTGGTTTTGACCCTTTGTCTCTCTCTGTGCTGTGTATTTAAACAGAAGGTTTCGTTTTGATTGTTGAAATATTAGCTTATTTTTCACGTGACAACTGCCGCAAGGATTGGGTTACAGTTCCCCTCCACCTCTCTTCCCCTACACAGAACCACTTGCTGATTCAATCTGTTTCCACTATTATTGCTACAGAACATGCTCCAAAAATACTTGTCACCCTGTATCTCTCTGTGTCTAGTGTGTTAGTCCTCCTGTCTCTGTGTTGTGTGTATATAATCATGTTTCTCACTCTGTCTCTCTGTGTATATAATCATGTTTCTCACCCTGTTTCTCTGTGTATACACTGGCTTGCGAAAGTATTCACCCCCCTTGGCATTTTTTCTATTTTGTTGCCTTACAACCTGGAATTAAAATTTATTTTTGGGGGTTTGTATCATTTGATTTACACAACATGCCTACCACTTTGAAGATGCAAAATATTTTTTATTGTGAAACAAACAAGAAATAAGAAAAAAAAAAAAATAGAACTGTACACCAGCGTGCATAACTATTCACCCCCCCAAAGTCAATACTTTGTAGAGCCACCTTTTGCAGCAATTACAGCTGCAAGTCTCTCAGTGGTCCTCTGTAGCTCAGCTGGTAGAGCACGGCGCTTGAAACACCAAGGTAGTGGGTTCGATCCCCGGGACCACCCATACACAAAAATGTATGCACGCATGACTGTAAGTCGCTTTGGATAAAAGCGTCTGCTAAATGGCATATTATTATTATTATTATTATTATTATTATTATTATATTATTATGTCTCTATAAGCTTGGCACATCTAGCCACTGGGATTTTTGTCCATTCTTCAAGGCAAAACTGCTCCAGCTCCTTCAAGTTGGATGGGTTCCACTGGTGTACAGCAATCTTTAAGTCATTCTACAGATTCTGGGCTTTAACTAGGCCATTTCCCCTTAAAGCACTCAAGTGTTGCTTTAGCAGTATGCTTAGGGTCATTGTCCTGCTGGAAGGTGAACCTCCGTCCCAGTCTCAAATCTCTGGAAGACTGAAACGGGTTTCCCTCAAGAATTTCCCTGTATTTAGCGCCATCCATCATTCTTTCAATTCTGACCAGTTTCCCTGTCCCTGCTGATGAAAAACATGGTGTTCTCAGGGTGATGAGAGGTGTTGGGTTTGCGCCAGACATAGCGTTTTCCTTGATGGCCAAAAAGCTCAATTTTAGTCTCATCTGACCAGAGTACCTTCTTCCATATGTTTGGGGAGTCTCCCACATGCCTTTTGGTGAACACCAAACGTGTTTGCTTATTTCTTTCTTGAAGCAATGGCTTTTTTCTGGCCACTCTTCCGTATAGCCCAGCTCTGTGGAGTGTACGGCTTAAAGTGGTCCTATGGACAGATACTCCAATCTCCACTGTGGAGCTTTGCAGCTCTCTTCAGGGTTATCTTTGGTCTCTTTGTTGCCTCTCTGATTAATGCCCTCCTTGCCTGGTCCGTGAGTTTTGGTGGGCGGCCCTCTCTTGGCAGGTTTGTTGTGTTGCCATATTCTTTCCATTTTTTTATAATGGATTTAATGGTGCTCTGTGGGATGTTCAAAGTTTCTGATATTTTTTTATAACCCAACCCTGATCTGTACTTCTCCACAACTTTGTCCCTGACCTGTTTGGAGAGCTCCTTGGTCTTGATGGTGCCGCTTGCTTGGTGGTTCCCCTTGCTTAGTGGTGTTGCAGACTCTGGGGCCTTTCTGAACAGGTGTGTGTATATATACTGAGATCATGTGACAGATCATGTAACACTTAGATTGCACACAGGTGGACTTTATTTAACTAATTATGTGACTTCTGAAGGTAATTGGTTGCACCAGATCTTATTTAGTGGCTTCATAGCAAAGGGGGTGAATACATATGCACGCACCTCTTTTCTGTTATTTTTGTATATTTTGTTATTTCACTTCTCCAATTTGGACTATATTGTGTATGTCCATTACATGAAATCCCCCAAAAAATCCATTCAATTACAGGTTGTAATGCAACAAAATAGGAAAAACGCCAAGGGGGCTGAATACTTTTGCAAGGCACTAATCATCATAATCATGTTTCTCACCCTGTCTCTCTGTGGATATAATCATGTTTCTCACTCTGTCTCTCTGTGTATATAATCATGTTTCTCTGATGTGTATATAATCATGTTTTCCACCCTGTCTCTCTGTGTATATAATCATGTTTTCCACCCTGTCTCTCTGTGTATATAATCATGTTTCTCTGATGTGTATAGAATGTTTTTCACCCTGTCTCTCTGTGTATATAATCATGTTTCTCTGATCTGTATATAATGTTTTCCACCCTGTCTCTCTGTGTATATAATCATGTTTCTCTGATGTGTATATAATACTGTTTTCCACCCTGTCTCTCTGTGTATATAATCATGTTTCTCTGATGTGTATATAATACTGTTTTCCACCCTGTCTCTCTGTGTATATAATCATGTTTCTCTGATGTGTATATAATGTTTTCCACCCTGTCTCTCTGTGTATATAATCATGTTTCTCTGATGTGTATATAATACTGTTTTCCACCCTGTCTCTCTGTGTATATAATCATGTTTCTCTGATGTGTATATAATACTGTTTTCCACCCTGTCTCTCTGTGTATATAATCATGTTTCTCTGATGTGTATATAATACTGTTTTCCACCCTGTCTCTCTGTGTATATAATACTGTTTTCCACCCTGTCTCTCTGTGTATATAATCATGTTTTCCACCCTGTCTCTCTGTGTATATAATACTGTTTTCCACCCTGTCTCTCTGTGTATATAATCATGTTTTCCACCCTGTCTCTCTGTGTATATAATCATGTTTTCCACCCTGTCTCTCTGTGTATATAATACTGTTTTCCACCCTGTCTCTCTGTGTATATAATACTGTTTTCCACCCTGTCTCTCTGTGTGTATAGTGTTGCAGGCGGTGGAGAGGATCAACACAGCCATCAGAGCAGGTGTGCCCGAGAACACGGCGGCAGAGCTGATGAACCCTGATGCCCAGCTGCCCGAGGTCTACCCCAGCGCTGCCGACCTCTACCAGAGAGAACTGACCAGCCTGCAGCAGCAGAGCCCAGAGGTAAGCGTATACACACGCGCATGCGCGCAGAGACGCACACAGACGCGCACACACACACACTCACCATCTCAATCGATGTGAGCCACAGATGGACATTGTCAGGCATTACAAGTGTATTTATGATTGTACATATTACCAAACTTATTGACAATACATCTATAAATAAATGTTCAAAAATACATATTGGTTAGCTAAACTGTCTGTAATCCACAGGGTTCAACATGGTTGGGCATTAGAAGTCAACTGTATTGATGACTGTTATTGCTAATAAGTACAATATATTGATAAATGTATCATCAAACAGAGGTATTGATTAGTTGAACGTTCTGGTTGTGTTCCCCAAGGGTTCTCTGTCCCACCCGGAGCTACTGGTTGCCGTGGAGATGTTGTCGTCGGTGGTGTTGATAAATAGGGCGTTGGACGTGGGTGACCGGAATTCCATGTGGAGACAACTGGCCAGCGCCGTTACTGGACTCAGTAACGTAGAGGACGAATACGCACAGAGGTACGCACAGAGACGGACACAGACACACACTTGTCTGTCACTAGTTGTGTAGATCCTGCTGTGTGCGTTTGAAGAAATCTTTAGGCCTCAATCCCAAATTGTGAAAGACTGGCACCATCTACAGCAGGGTTCTTCAATTCCGGTCCTGGAGGGCCGAAACACTTCTGTTTTTTATTTCTACCTGGTAGTTAATTTCACTCACCTGGTGTCCCAGGTCTGAATTAGCCCCTGATTAGAAGGAGAGGATGAAAAACAGAGGTGTTTCGGCCCTCCAGGACCGGAATTGAAGGACCCTGATCTACAGTAACCTCAGAGATATTAAAGTATAAATGATGTATTAACATGTGTTTTCTACCCATCTAACCAGGTCATGTAAATGCCTTTCGTGTTTTTGTTGTTGCAGATGACAACTACATTTACGTTGTAGTAAACATGTACGTCTGTAATCCACAGTAATTCATTTTCTGGCACTCAATAAATGTCCCGGTTTAATATTGTCTATTCAGTTGACTGGTTAGTCCATAACTATGAGGTTTAATATTGTCTATTCAGTTGACTGGTTAGTCCATAACTATGAGGTTTAATATTGTCTATTCAGTTGACTGGTTAGTCCATAACTATGAGGTTTAATATTGTCTATTCAGTTGACTGGTTAGTCCATAACTATGAGGTTTAATATTGTCTATTCAGTTGACTGGTTAGTCCATAACTATGAGGTTTAATATTGTCTATTCAGTTGACTGGTTAGTCCATAACTATGAGGTTTAATATTGTCTATTCAGTTGACTGGTTAGTCCATAACTATGAGGTTTAATATTGTCTATTCAGTTGACTGGTTAGTCCATAACTATGAGGTTTAATATTGTCTATTCAGTTGACTGGTTAGTCCATAACTATGAGGTTCGTTATAATTAGAAGAAATTAGATGGTGACAATAATTCCCATGAATTTAGGATCAGCACTCATTAACCCTGGTGTTGGTGTCTCAGGTATATGGATGAATTGATGCGGCTGAAGGCAGTGGCCAGGGAGGAAGGCAGTGACTATCTGACCTGGAACGACATCCAGGCCTGTGTTGACCAGGTCAACTTGACCATACAGGAGGAGCACGAACGTGAGTGGACCACATACACTTGCATGCACACGTACACACACACACGTGCGCAAACACACACACACACACACACACACACACACACACACACACACACACACACACAGGAAGACACATGCACACACTTATCAGAATGCACACACACACACACAGCAGAACTCCACTTCCAAGACTTGTAACCTTCAAATAGATCTAGAAGAGAAGGAGACCAATGTGATCATGCGTCACTCTGCCTCATTTATTTGGCTTTTCAAGATCACTTCTCTTTCTGATCTCTTATCATTAACTTGATCTACAGTATTGAACGCTAAACCTCCGTGTTCCTCAACATGTTTGATCTACAGTATTGAACGCTAAACCTCAGTGTTCCTCAACATGTTTGATCTACAGTATTGAACACTAAACCTCAGTGTTCCTCAACATGTTTGATCTACAGTATTGAACACTAAACCTCAGTGTTCCTCAACATGTTTGATCTACAGTATTGAACACTAAACCTCCGTGTTCCTCAACATGTTTGATCTACAGTATTGAACACTAAACCTCAGTGTTCCTCAACATGTTTGATCTACAGTATTGAACGCTAAACCTCAGTGTTCCTCAACATGTTTGAGAGTCTGAGACATTCCCATAGAGATATACATGAGAGCTCATCTCCTATCTTTATAATGCCCTCTAGTGTGACATGGGCAGTGCCGTGAAAGCACTCGATGGTGCTGCCCATGCTAAAACAGGCTTTGGGCCAAGTGCACCCTGTATCCAACTCTATGGACATTCCTCATCAGTCTGAGTTAAAGAAGAGAACATAAGGTGATGTCATAAGATATGTGTAGTTTAAAAAGATAGCATTACATTGTCAAAAATAGATCTCTTCCACTAATAGATGGACAATGCTAACATATGGGTTTTAAAGTTACCAGATTGTATCTTCTACCTTCCCATATCTATGTCTTCAGGCTTATCCTTGTGATGTATTGTATGCCCTTGTGCTTGTGCTCATAAATGCTTCAAATGATTTGTCCTTTGCGGACAATAAAGATGTTGTCTTAATCGTGTGTGTGTGTCTAGGTATCGTGGCCATCGGTCAGATCAACGAAGCTCTGGATGGGGGAGACCCACAGAACACCCTAGAAGCCCTCCTGCACTCTGCAGCCAAGCTAACAGACGTAGACCCCTCCATCGCCCAGCACTACTATGACAAACTGCTTGAGGCCCGCAGGGAGAAGGCACATGTAAGGACCAATTTATGTATAAACACACACACACACAATGGGTGTGTTTTGGTACAGAACTGCTTGACTGGGTATGTTTTGGCACAGAGCTGCTTGACTCATGTCACACCTTACACACACTTTACGTTACGCACAAACACATATTACACACTCTCCTTTCTGCTTTTACTGGGACGGTGTCTTTCTCACCTCTCATTGCATTGTAATGAACTGGACCAGTCACCTGGGTGTAGGTGTTAGACTTTCCTCCACTTTCTCCTTCTTTATAGGCTTGTTGTCTCTCTTGTTTCGGAGTATTACTGACTGATGGGAGTTTGTCTGGTTTCGGAGCATTACTGACTGATGGGAGTTTGTCTGGTTTCGGAGCATTACTGACTGATGGGAGTTTGTCTGGTTTCGGAGTATTACTGACTGATGGGAGTTTGTCTGGTTTCGGAGTATTACTGACTGATGGGAGTTTGTCTTGTTTCGGAGTATTACTGACTGATGGGAGTTTGTCTGGTTTCGGAGTATTACTGACTGATGGGAGTTTGTCTGGTTTCGGAGTATTACTGACTGATGGGAGTTTGTCTGGTTTCGGAGCATTAATGACTGATGGGAGTTTGAGCATCAGTGTTGGATGCCCTTGAATTACATTTACATTTTAGTCATTTAGCAGACGCTCTTATCCAGAGCGACTTACATGAGCAATTAGGGTTAAGTGCCTTGCTCAAGGGCACATCAACAGATTTTTCACCTAGTCGGCTCGGGGATTAGAACCAGCGACCTTTCGGTTACTGGCACAACGCTCTTAACCACTAAGCTACCTGCCGCCCACACTAGCATAGAGCTAGCCCTGCAGATAATGTTTTCATCTGATGGATGTTTTGACCTACAATTACAGAAAATGGAGAAGGTTTGATGAAAAAACACACTTGACCCAACTATTTACATATTATATGCAAAGTAGAAGCAGATAATTTGGTACTGTAGATATTTTCAACTGACAGACACTGTTTACAATTGAGTAGAGATGCAGTTTCTCGTCAAAGCATCTGTTTGCTTGGTGATGAATAGGTCCCGAGGTCGGCAGGGGTGTGTTCGAGTGCACAATGCTGTGTTGGGATTATGCAAACACACGAGGCACTGTATGCAAATATAGCTAATTTACAGTTACTTCACAGGTGTTTTTTCAATAGGTTGTTGAGTGTATCTCTAAGGCAGACCTTCAAATATAGTGCTTAACCTATGTTTAAACTTATGCTTAATAAGTATGGTCTATACAAATTGGCTACATTGGTGTCAGAAGTGGGATGGGGCTACCTTAAGGTCTACAGGCTTCGTACTATAAGTAAAAATGTATCTATGTGTAAGTTTCTTTCAATATAAGCGTCTGCTAAACAACCATAATATTATTATGGTCATGCGTAAATATTATTTTTAGTCAGTGTATAAATATTATTTTTGAGTGGTGTTTTCTAGGCTGATGTCCTGAGGGACAGTGGACTGACTCCATGTGATCCAGCCCTATCATCCCCACATGACTCCCACTAACCCCCTCAGTGATGTCATGGTGTGATCATGCTTTCTGCTCCCCCGGCTGGTCCTGCTAACCCCCACTCAATTCCTGTCTGTCTCGCACCCATTCTTTTCTTTCATTTTCATTCTCTCTCTTTTTGACTCTGTCTCACCTTCCCTCTGTCTATTTCTTTTCCGTCTCTTTATCCCTCTCTCTTTCCCTCTCCTTTACTCTTCTCTCGTCTCGCTCGCTCTCTCTTTCTTTCTCTCTTCCTTCTTTCAACTTAACAATAAAAGGACTGGCTAAAATAGCCTTTATGTACAGTAGTCAAACTGTATAGCCCAATTCAAAGCCAAACGGGCTGACAGAGACTATGTCAGTCTTGTTACTGGGAAGTAGATAACAAGCCATAAACTCATCAGACCTCACACACACACACACACACACACACACACACACACACACACACACACACACACACACACACACTGTCTCTGAGTCATTTAACTGTGTTATCTTGCCTGGGTGGGGTGATGAGTGTCGTTGTTCTTGTACATGCATGTCTATGTAATGGTCCCATATAATGTCACCGCTCCAGTCCCATATTTGGTTGTTTCCTGTTTGCTGGTGAAACAGAAAGGTTAACGAGACTGTAGAAGATGCAGGTGGGGTGAAAGGGGTAAGGGCCATGGTTTACCACAAACAAAAGTGCAGAGGATGTGAACTGCTGTGGGGAAGACTGTAGATTTAGAACACAGAAACAGAACCACACAGGGAATTCACATATTAGGAAAGTGATGTAGTTGTTATTGGGCCGAAGCTTTAGTTTAGCTCAGTGAGCTGCACTTTCCACAGAAACTGTCTTGTCCTCGTTTTTAACCAGAATGACTCGTCAGTGCTTAAACTTAAGGCCAGAAGCATTAAATAGAAAGTGTCCCACAGTGTATCTATTTCTCTCGCACTCACAGTTTTTCCTGTTTTATAAGTTGGCCTATAGATAGAAAAGTAAATGTGTCTTATCAATGTTAGATGATAGACTAGCTTGGCCTCCGCCCTCGTACTCTCAAAGCCAGGGAACGGGAGAATGTTATAATTGTCAACAATCGGCCAGTCACATCTCGAGCGCTCTCGTCGTGGCAATGTGGGAATGTGACTCTCATTTGTTTGCCAAGCCCTTTTTTTTCCAAATCACGCTTTTAGGGAACGAGAGAGGGAAGGAAGGAGAGAGAGGGAGGAGGGGAGTGGTAGGGGGCAGTAAAGAAAGCAAGCCATTTCCCTGCCGATCTTTTTCACAGGCATAGGAAATAACAAGCCAGGACTACTCTGTCTGCTTCCTTAAAAGGGCACGAAGCCCAACACTACATCAGAAGGGGACTTTTCACAGTAGAGTCATTTAGTTGGTAGTTGGTTTAACCTGGGCCCTCTGGGGCTCTGGTGGCCTCAATCCATGGGTCTGATAGCTGAGGTGAGGATTCTCCTTTGTGGTGGGTTCGTGTTAGACAAGACAGACAGACGTACACTGAGTGTACAAAACATTAAGGACACCTGCTCTTTCCATGACATAGACTGACCAGGTGAATCCAGGTGAAAGCTGTGATCCCTTATTGATGTCACTTGTAAATCCACTTTAATTAGTGTAGATGAAGGGGAGGAGACAGGTTAAAGAAGGATATTTTTTTAAGTCTTGAGACAATTGAGACATGGATTCTGTATGTGTGCCAGTCAGAAGGTGATTGGGCAAGACAAAAGATTTAAGTGCCTTTGAATGGGGTATGGTAGTAGGTGCCAGGCGTACCGATGTGTGTCAAGAACTGCAACGCTGCTGGGATTTCACTCTCAACAGTTTCCTTTTGTGTATCAAGAATGGTCCACCACCCAAATGACATCCAGGCATCTTGACACAACCGTGAGAAGCATTGGAATCAACATGGGCCAGCATCCCTGTGGAACGCTTTCGAGCCCATGCCCTGACAAATTGAGGCTGTTCTGAGGGCAAAAGGAGGGGGGTGCAACTCAATATTAGGAAGGTGTTCCTAATGTTTGGTGTACACACAGCACACACACACACACACACACAGGGGTAGGGGTCAAATATGTCAAACATCTTCATTGTCTCCAAAGGATCAAATCCATGACTGAAAGTCGTCCTCTAGGAGTGACTCCACTGCGGTGCATTCAGAATTGGATGACTCAGTCAGACACACGGCACAGACACAGGAAGTTGTTAGAAACAGGAAGTTCCGGCTGGATTTCAAAGGCCTGATGCGGCTCATGTGCTCCACAGCTGCAGGTGGAGGGGGTTGGTTGGGCATGGGGATAGTAGCAGATGGGAAGGAATGGGAGCTGTTGAAGGAGAATGAACACAGGGGGATATTCAGTATGGTGAAACTTTCAGATCATATCTGGCTGTATCTGTTCTATTCTGTTCTGTAACATCACGCCCTCCTGAACAGGCCCCAGGTTAATACATGGAATATGATTTCAGATCGTAGACCTAGATCTATACTTTTGTGCAATGATTCACTAGTGAATTCTTAAGCCTTTTGGTGGACCATAGAGCAATAGGTTTGAGATCTACTTTTGTAGACACAACTAGGTTTCTAGTGTGTGACTATAGGGCCCTGTTCATTAGAGCACGCCGCAGCAAAACGTTTGTAACGGGAAAAGGAAACAAGTGTTTCTTATTGGACATGTTCAGAGAGTGTGTCCCTGTTTCACTCCACGTCGTGCCTTCTGAACACGGCCCAGATTTCTTTCTCAGACGCTGATGTTTCATCAGGGAGTATTTTTATATGATGCCAGACACCCATGTACAGCCTGTGATATCTTTCTGTGCCAGTCTTGTGGTCTGAGGGTTCAGCTTGACTGCTTGACTGGCCAAAGTAAACACGGTGGGAGGACAAGCCTGGGGCTCCGTAATAGTCCAACTTCATCGCTCACGTCATCATTAAAGCATGCACGGCTCTGTGTGTGTGTGTCCATGGGGTGCATGTGCACTCGCTGTGTTGTGATGTTTTTATGTTACTTATGTATATATTCACGAGCTGCTTTGTGACCACTGACTCCACTCTGATGATATCAGTCAACAGCCTGGAATAGAGGAGTTCCTCTATAGAAAGACATTATAGAAGGGCATGTAGGGACTAGACTGCATTAGTGAGGCAATGATGGGAGGGTTCACTGGCTAAGAACAACACCCTATCGGCTTACACTTCCTCTATTCTGATCAGGGGTCTGTTCATTAGGGCACACAACGGAAAACATTAAAAAAACCTATTGTAATGGGTAAAAATTAAATGAGCATTTCAGTCCCTCCCTGTTTCAGTCCGTTTTCTTCCGTTTGGTGCCTAATGAATACGACCCAGCAGTTGTGTGTTTGTCAGGAGTCCTGATTTAATAAGATACGTCCTTCTAATCCCACCCCCTCCTCTCTGGCACCACACCCTTTCTGTATCGCTTACCTGCCACAAGCTGCAAGGATCATTTCCAAACAAATATGATTTAGCACTAACCCCTTATTTACTGTCAATAAAGCTATTCTGCTACTGACGGATTGAGAGCCAGTGCTTGCCTTAGGTACAGCTCTAGGATCCGCTTCCCCACTCCAATCCTAACATAACCATTTGTGGGGGAAATACAAAACTGACCCAAGATCAGCGTCTATGGGCAACTTCACCCTGGATTGTTGCTTGCCACTACCTGCCTGGCTGGCTTGCACAAGGAATCTCACCTACCCTGAGTTTTGGTATCAGTCTCCCCCAGCCCCCCTCCCCTGAAACACGGCAGGAGGAGGGAGGGGCAGGTAGGTGGGGGAGGCACAAAGATGGGCCTGTCCTGTTGGCCTATCAGCATCTAGCCCTGCGCACTCCGGAAACCAGCACAGCTAGCAGAGAGAGAGAGAGAGAGAGAGAGAGAGAGAGAGAGAGAGAGAGAGAGAGAGAGATCGAGATAGATAGAGAGATAGCGAGAGAATACGACTGCTCTAGCTCTCTCTCTCTCTCGCTCTCTCGTTCTCTCTCTCTCTCTCTCTCTCTCGCTCTCTTCTCTCTCCTCTCTCGTCTCCTCTCTCTCTCTCCTCTCCTCTCTCTCTCTCTCTCTCTTCTCTCTCTCTCTCTCTCTCCTCTCTCTCGCTCCTCTTCTCTCCGCTCTCTCTCTCTCTGCGATCTCTCGCTCTAGACTCTCTCCTCTCTCTCTCCTGCTCTCTCCTCTTCCTCTCTATCTCTCTCTCTCCTTCGCTTCTCTCGCCTCTTTCTCTACTGTCTCTAGCTGCGTCTGTAGCTCTGTGTTACTGTATACTTAAAACACAGATACTTGAGAAAGTGTTTTGAACTGTCATGTCATGGTTTCAGTAAGCTAATGTGCTAATCCAATTGACTTGTGTTATGTGGGTCAAGAATGTACACAGGGAGGGAATGCTGTTGTAGGAAGGTGGGACTGATATAGGAGGGTATTGGATACTTCTGCAACTTGGATATCAGACTAAAGATGTAGTGTCTCACTGCCTTCTGTAGGCCTTTGCAATAAGCAGGTGTTCATTATTGACTCTTCTATTCTCCATCTCCTGAGATTGGATTGGATTTCTGTTGATATAAGTGGAATGACCAATGACCCGTACTTTCATATGGAATTCTGTTCTAAGTTGTGTGGGCGTGACACCCTGTACTAGTCTATAGAGTTGCCTTTCCTGTGGTCTCATGCCATTGTGGTTGGATGCAAATTAGACCCAAGTACTTTCATTCAGCAGGAGGATATCGCCCCCCAGTGGTCATTCAGTAGAATGGCAGTAAATATGCTGCAGACCCGGTGGGTGTTGTTTTTCAGGTGAGAGTGACCAAGTGTGTGAGACTGACCGCTTCTGTGTGTGGTCTTCTTCCAGGAGACCCAGGACCCCTCCGCTGTGCTCTGGTTGGATGAGATCCAGGACGCCATACTGACGGCCAATAAGGATACCCAGGAGGCCTTGCAGTGTAAGAATAGTACACACCCTAGCTGTCCCACAACCACAGTTTGGGAAATGGGATAAAATGCTGCCTTTTTCTCAGGGTTCCAAGCAGACCTGGGTTCACATAGTATCACTTGTTTTCTTTCAAATACATTTTATTGACTGCCTGAAGTGCCAGATGGGCAGGCCTTGCACATTTGGGACTATTCCATTGGTTCCATCATGCCAGGCAATCTCAATCAAACACAGCTAAGGTATTTGAAAGAACACATACTATTTGAACACAGGTTTGGTTCCAAGCTATTTCTTGTAAGGAGAGCATGATGAAATACTGAAAAGCCAAATAAAAAAAACTGGATAAAAACAGAATGATGAACTATGGGAATGATGACTAATCTCCATTTCCCTGTTCCCTTGTCAGTCTCCCAGGCCATCCAGGCCATCAACGGAGCGGTGGACAGTGGCGAGGCGTCTCAGACCCTGGCTGCGCTGCGCTCCCCTGGGGCCGGCCTCTACGGAGTCACCCCTGAGTGTGCCCAGAACTACCAGGACGACCTGGCCAAGGTCAAACAGGACAAGATCCAGGAGGGTGAGGAGGATGGTCACAGTGTGCATTCTAAATGGCACTCTATTTTAATTTTTTTATTTTATTTAACCTTTATTTAACCAGGTAAACCAGTTGAGAACAAGTTCTCATTTACAACTGCGACCTGGCCAAGATAAAGCAAAGCAGTGCGATAAAAACAACAACACAGAGTTACATGTTGGGTAAACAAAACAAAGTCAAAAATACAACAGAAAATATATATACAGTGTGTGCAAATGTAGCAAGTTATGGAGGTAAGGCAATAAATAGGCTATAGTGCAAAATAATTACAATTAGTATTAACACTGGAATGATATATGTGCAAATGAGCAAAATAAATAACAATATGGGGATGAGGTAGTTGAGTGGGCTAATTTCAGAATGGCTGTGTACAGGTGCAGTGATCGGTAAGGTGCTCTGACAACTGATGCTTAAAGTTAGTGAGGAAGATAAGAGTCTCCAGCTTCAGAGATTTTTGCAGTTCGTTCTAGTCATTGGCAGCAGAGAACTGGAAGGAATGGCGGCCAAAGGAGGTGTTGGCTTTGGGGATGACCAGTGTTGCGAAATAGGAAGCCGATTCTCGATTTAACTTTGGATTGGAGATGCTTAATGTGAGTCTGGAAGGAGAGTTTACAGTCTAACCAGACACCTAGGTATTTGCAGTTGTCCACATACTCTAGGTCAGACCCGTCGAGAGTAGTGATTCTAGTCGGGTGGGCGGGTGCCAGCAGCGTTCGATTGAAGAGCATGCATTTAGTTTTACTAGTGTTTAAGAGCAGTTGGAGGCTACGGAAGGAGTGTTGTATGGCATTGAAGCTCGTTTGGAGGTTTGTTAATACAGTGCCAATGAAGGGCCAGATGTATACAAAATGGTGTCGTCTGCGTAGAGGTGGATCTGAGAGTCACCAGCAGCAAGAGCAACATCATTGATATACACAGAGAATAGAGTCGGCCCAAGAATTGAACCCTGTGGCACCCCCATAGAGACTGCCATAGGTCCAGACAACAGGCCCTCCGATTTGACACATTGAACTCTATCTGAGAAGTAGTTGGTGAACCAGGCGAGGCAGTCATTTGAGAAACCAAGGCTATTTAGTCTGCCAATAATAACTGTAAGTGCAAGTAATGAACACAAAACAATAAAAGTAATGTGTATGACTGTGCCCCAATGGCACCCAATGCCCTACATAGTGCACTACTTTTGACCAGAGCCCTATGGAGGGGTATATACTGTATATGCACTATATAGGGCATTGGGTGCCATTGGGGCACAGTCATACACATTACTTTTATTGTTTTGTGTTCATTACTTGCACTTACAGTTTATTCTACAATGGAGTTAGTGCAATAACATATAGGTTACATTGGTAGTTATAATGTGACTAAATGGCATCAGCCAGAGCAAGTTAATGTTCAGAGTCAAAAGACTTTCTGTTTCTAACCAGGAAGTGCAGATATAGAGGAGCTTGATTGCTTGCTTTAGTACAACAGACAAGGTATAGATGGTTCCTTGACCGACAGACTGACAGAGCGATAGATGAAGATAGATATATATGTGTGTGTGTGTGTGTGTGTGTGTGTAAATAAATTGGTGAGAAATATGTCCATAACTCTGTGTGTGTGTGTGTGTCCATGCTCCAGGTGACAACGGCAGTGACTGGATGAAGCACTGGGTGAAGGGAGGACACAACTACTACTACAACCTGAAGAAAGGAGAGGGCTCCTGGACCGAACCTGCAGACTTCCTCCAGAACAACACCCAGCTCAACAAGGAGGACATCCAGGTAGGCTAAGAGGAGACGGGGCGATCTGGGGTGAAGTTTCCCTTGGGTACAGATCTAGGATCAGTTCCTCCTGCCCAAATCATAACGTCAACCATTAGTGGGGAAAATGCAAAACTGACCGCATCTAGGGGCAATTTCATACAGGGCTTTGCCTCTTCCTTTCTGGCTGTATTCATTGAGGTGAAACATTCAGAACCTTGCAGATAGAATTGTAATGAATAGAACATGCATGATTCCCTCTTTTACATGACAGACACCCATATCTGTTCTACGAAATGCATTTCTATGTCGACGATCTAACGCTGCACCCTCCAGAACAGGCCGCAGTACTGTGGTGTTGCAGTGATTTAGCTTTTCTGGAGCATGCTAACAGGCTAACCGCGCTCCTCCTACCACTCCCATTGGTTTGAACATAATGCTAATGCTAAACTCATCTGTAGCTAAGCGGACAAGCTCAAGCCTTACATTGTTTCTGCTAATGCAGGCGAATGTATAGTTGAGATCATTGTGCACAACTCAGACTTTCATGTAAATCATTCAATGATATCAATAGTAGTTAAGTGCATGGATCCCAAGTCTGAATACCGTCATGGTCCATATAGACTACTTTCTTGGTATCCGTACGATTAGGTGAAATTCAAGTAGGTTTTCCTTTAGCATTCTCACTTAACTCCCATCTCTTTTGCTAAAAACAGATACACCTTCCACTGCCACGCCTAAAGCTGTGTTGTTCATAGTATGTCATTATGTAAGTGGGCCTGTGTGTGACTGGCTCTCTGTGTTGTCAATCAGTCTGTGGTTTCCGGGGTGACCACCACCTACAACCGGGAGCAGCTGTGGCTTGCCAATGAGAGCCTGATTGCCAAGCTGCAGGCTGGATGCCGTGGCTACCTGGTGAGGAAAGGCCTGAAGGAGAGAAACAACTTCCTGAAATCCCAGGACCCAGCCATCACCACCATACAGGTCAGAGGTCAATCTCCTCCCTTCCTTTGGACTTGGAGTGAATCTCAATAATATTTCCTTGATTCCTCACGTCCTTTCTCATCTCCTTCTCAAAGTCCATTGGAGCAGAAGATCTGAGGTTCCTCCCCTTCTCCTCCAATGTGCTTTGAGAAGGAGGCGAGGAGCGAGGGCGCGAGCAATCAAGGAAATACAATTGAGATTCACCCATAGACATTACACATTTCACAGTACACACAACATACACAACCCCAGTGCTACACAGCCGGTCCCAAATCGTTCCCTAACCCTCCCCCTTAGCCCTAAGCCTTCGACAGTATATCTATCCAGTTCTGCAAACACTGAAGGGTTAGGGCCAAGGGGAAGTGGTAAGGAGTGAATTGGGAACTGCTGACATTTTAAAGAAAACATTCTACCACTTTATTGCCATGTTGAACTTTAAGGGCCGGTTTCTCAGACCCAGATTAAGCCTCATCTTGGACTAAGGAGCACTTACAATGGTGATTCTCCATTGAGCATGATTTTTAGTCTAGGACTTAAACTGTGTGTGAATCTGGCCCTAAAAATGCCCTATGCTCCTTAACACTGGTCCTGTATATTTGTCTGTCTATCTTACAGGCTCATTTTAGAGGCTACAAGCAGAGGAAGATTTATATAAAAAGGAAGGAGTACCTGAATGACCACAGCGAGGATGCTGTAAAGGTAATGTCTCCACCTACTGTAGGTGTAGCCCTCTTTTTATAATAAAACAACCATACCTTGATTGGTGGGTCCTGTTCATTGGGGCATGCAATGTTCTAATACGCTTTGGAAAGGAAAACAATAATTACCGTTGTCCCTCCCTGTTTCAGTCCATGTTCTTCTCTTTTGTGCCTTAATGAACATGAGCCTGTGTTGCTGCTTTTCCTTTAAGTCTTACGTTTTTGGTGAACTTCAAAGCTTTTTTAGTATTGACCTAGTTTTGTTTTCAGATCCAATCCATGGTGAGGATGCACCAAGCTCGCAAGAAGTACAGAGACCGCCTGAAGCACTTCAAGGACCATGTGAGTTGATTTATTTAGATCATTTAGTTAACCCTTACTTTACAAGATACGCAAGTAATTTGAATGTATTAGTATCTGGTAGTTTGAATCCCAGATTGAACAAATGGTGTCCCAGGTCTAAATCAGTCTCCGATTAGAGGAAAACAATGAAAACATTCAGTGGAGCTGGCTTCCAGGTCCAGAGTTGAGTTTGAGGGTGATAACTATACTTCCATTAAATGAGTATGAATCTTTGACGACAGAGAAGTAGCTAGAAGGTCCAGTAGCTTGTAGAGTCTGGTTCCTGTCAAGGTTTCCTCCTCCCAGGGAGTGTTTCCTTGTTACTATGCTCCTACTTGACTCTAGGCCAGGTAACAGCGAAGCACATTGTCACTTTTGTGAAAAACGCTACATAAATCAAATAGGATTGATTGAGGTGAATTATAGTTATATAGTGTGCCCAAGGCTGTCTGTTCTCTAGTCTGGTGTAATCACCGTATGACGTCACATCTAACTCTTTATATCCTAGCCTGATGCATACAGTGACATTAACTCTCTTCTGCTTCCCTATGGGCCCTGGTCAGAAGTAGTGTACTATATAGGAAATAGGGTGCCATTTGGGACACATCCAATGTCTGTTCAGCTTAATGAGGCTACTAGGCTAGATGGCTCACTTACTTAACTGTGTACCCTGACTCACCGCAGATTACCAACCTAATGTTTACATATGGGCTGCGTCCCAAATGGCACCATATTCCCTATATAGTGCACTACTTTTGACCAGAGCCCTATTAAGGGAATAGGGTGCCATTTGGGACGCAGTCATGTTATTGATCAGTGAAGTGACTGCTGTTTGCTCTGTTGTGGCAGATCAATGATGTGGTAAAGATCCAGGCGTTCATCAGAGCCAACAAAGCCAGAGGCGATTACAAGACACTCAGTGAGTATGATGATGATGAGAACCCCTCACCCACCACTAGCTTTCTCTCTCAATACTGAGCCTTCTCTCTCACCTGTTCCTTCTTTCTGCCACATACTGACTCCATCCTGACTGAAACTCTCTCACTCACTCACTCAGTCAGCGCTGACGACCCTCCCATGGCGGTGGTGCGCAAGTTCGTCCACCTCCTGGACCACAGTGACCAGGACTTCCAGGAAGAGCTGGACCTGATGAGGCTCCGGGAGGAGGTGGTCACCAACATCCGCTCCAACCAGCAGCTGGAGAATGACCTGAACCTGATGGACATCAAGATCGGCCTGCTGGTCAAGAACAAGATCACCCTGCAGGAGGTGGTGTCCCACAGCAAGAAGCTGACCAAGAAGAACAAGGGCGAGCTGTCCAACCTGATGATGATGAACAAGCAGAGAGGAGGCCTGAAGGCACTGAGCAAGGAGAAGAGGCTCAAGCTGGAGGCCTATCAGTATCTCTTCTACCTGCTGCAGGTACACTAGATACTGTGTGTGAATCTATACACAGCAGGAGTATACACACACATGGAAATACACACACACACACACACGGTTAGTAAAGCTGTACTGCAAAGAGGATCCCACTGGCAAACAGCTGAGAAACATAAAATACTGTAGGTGACAGTAAGCTAGACGGACTATCGAAACGGAACAGGAAAACATCCAATCTAACCGTAGTTAACGTGTTTCCTCCCTGCAGACCAACCCCACCTACCTGGCCAAGCTGATCTTCCAGATGCCCCAGAATAAGTCCACTAAGTTCATGGACTCTGTGATCTTCACCCTGTATAACTACGCCTCCAACCAGAGAGAGGAGTACCTGCTGCTCAAACTCTTCAAGACTGCCCTGCAGGAGGAGATCAAGTAAGGAGCTAATACTAGAAACAATATGATTAATCAATAAGGACTGAGGGGGTGTGGTATATGGCCAATATACCACAGCTAAGGGATGTTCTTATGCACAACGCAATGTGGAGTGCCTGGATATAGCCTTACTGTTATTATAAACTGGTTACCAACGTAATTAGAGCAGTACAAATAAATGTTTCGTCATACCCGTAGTATACGGTCTGATATACCACGGCTTTCAGCCAATCAGCATTCAGGGCTCGAACAACCCAGTTTATAATATAGTATATGCCACTTAGTCATGCATACATATTTCGTATGGGTAGCCCTAGCGGGAATCGAACCCACGATTCTTGGCGACGAAGCGCTATGCTCTACCAACTGAGCCACACAGAAACACTTATACAGTCTAGCAGTGTCTCACCATGTTCCTAACCTTGTGTCCTCAGATCCAAAGTGGACCAGATCCAGGAGATCGTCACGGGCAACCCCACTGTCATCAAGATGGTGGTGAGCTTCAACCGTGGCGCCCGGGGCCAGAATGCACTGCGGCAGATCCTGGCACCTGTCGTCAAGGAGATCATGGACGACAAGACGCTGAACATCAAGACGGACCCGGTGGACATCTACAAGAGCTGGGTCAACCAGATGGAGACACAAACTGGAGAGGCCAGGTGAGAGAGGAGGAGTCTGGGTAATGGAGTTTAGATGAGACTGTCAGAGAGGAGTTGGAGTTTGGAGTCAACTGTTCAAATATGGACAGTATTAGAGCTGTCGTTACAATTTTAGAGTAAAATTGTATGACTGTATACCTTTCTCTCCTCCTCTCTCTCTCTCTTCCTCCCCCCTTTCTGTACCACTTCTGCCCCCCCCTCCCCCACTCTCCCCCCTCTCTTCTCCAACAGTAAACTACCCTATGAGGTAACACCGGAGCAGGCTATGAGTCACGAGGAGGTGCGCACGCGCCTGGAAGCGTCCATCAAGAACATGAGGACGGTCACAGACAAGTTCCTGTCCGCCATCATTGTCTCTGTGGACAAAATCCCGTAAGTGTCTCTAGCTCTGCTCTCAATAGAAATAGAATTACAAGAAAGGACAGAGCCCTTCAGACCACAGCAATTTGACTGGAACACTCATGGCTACACTCAATATGGCTGCCTGTCCACCCGTTACTGAACGTCATCTTGAATGGGAATGTCCATTCTAGTAATTATATTTCTATGCTGCTCTCTATAACAGGGGTCGGTCCCAACTACTACGGCCCTCGAGTGCCGCATGATCTAGTAGTTCTCAACGTTGCCTTTTTATCAACTGGTGATTTAGACCTGAAATCTGTGACTTTAATTGATCAAGTTTGAAATGTTGTGATGTTCTAAAGGAGAAACAGCAGACATTAGTTTTAACCTGTGACTGTTTTTCATCCCTGCTCTACAGAACATGAACCAGCTACTGTGTGTTAGGATGCTTATCAGTTCTATGAGATAGGGTCACTTATATAGGGAATTAACCCATTATAAAAACGGAAACAAATTGTTCTTTGTGTGTGTCAGGTATGGGATGCGTTTCACCTCCAAGGTGCTGAAGGACACACTCCATGAGAAGTTCCCCGACGCTACAGAGGATGAGCTTCTAAAGGTGTCATTCTATCAGTCTTATACCATAGTCAACTGTTAAACTGCACTTTACTACTAGAGCTCTACTGTGCTCTACTCTCCTCTACTGTGCTCTCCTCTACTCTCCTCTACTGTGCTCTCCTCTACTGTTCTCTACTCTCCTCTACTGTGCTCTCCTCTACTGTTCTCTACTCTCCTCTACTGTGCTCTACTCTCCTCTACTGTGCTCTACTCTCTTCTACTGTGCTCTACTCTCCTCTACTGTGCTCTAATCTCCTCTACTGTGCTCTACTCTCCTCTACTGTGCTCTACTCTCTTCTACTGTGCTCTACTCTCTTCTACTGTGCTCCAATCTCCTCTACTGTGCTCTACTCTCTTCTACTGTGCTCTACTCTCTTCTACTGTGCTCTACTCTCTTCTACTGTGCTCTCCTCTCCTCTACTGTGCTCTACTCTCATCTACTGTGCTCTCCTCTACTGTGCTCTCCTCTACTGTGCTCTCCTCTACTGTGCTGTGCTCTCCTCTACTGTGCTGTGCTGTGCTCTCCTCTACTGTGCTCTCCTCTACTGTGCTCTCCTCTACTGTGCTGTGCTCTCCTCTACTGTGCTGTGCTCTCCTCTACTGTGCTGCGCTCTCCTCTACTGTGCTCTACTCTCTTCTACTGTTCTCTACTCTCCTCTACTGTGCTGTGCTCTCCTCTACTGTGCTGTGCTCTCCTCTACTGTGCTCTACTCTCTTCTACTGTTCTCTACTCTCCTCTACTGTGCTCTACTCTACTCTCCTCTACTGTGCTGTGCTCTCCTCTACTGTGCTCTACTCTCTTCTACTGTTCTCTACTCTCCTCTACTGTGCTCTACTCTACTCTCCTCTACTGTGCTCACCTCTACTGTGCTCTGCTCTCCTCTACTGTGCTCTGCTCTCCTCTACTGTGCTCTACTCTCCTCTACTGTGCTCTACTCTCCTCTACTGTGCTCTACTCTACTCTCCTCTACTGTGCTCTCCTCTACTCTACTGTTCTCTACTCTCCTCTACTGTGCTCTACTCTACTCTCCTCTACTGTGCTCTCCTCTACTGTGCTCTACTCTACTCTACTGTGCTCTACTCACCTCTACTGTGCTCTCCTCTACTGTGCTCTACTCTCCTCTACTGTGCTCTCCTCTACTGTGCTCTACTCTCCTCTACTGTGCTCTCCTCTACTGTGCTCTCCTCTACTGTGCTCTACTCTCCTCTACTGTGCTCTACTCTCCTCTACTGTGCTCTACTCTCCTCTACTACTTGCACTGTTACCCTGGTGAGCTTGACTCACTATCACCCTTCTCTTACTGAATGTGGTTTCCTTCTCTTTCTCCTCCTTCCTCTCCTTACCTCCATCTCTCCTCTCTCCCTTTATCTCCTTCTCTCTTCCTCCCCTTTCTCCAGCTGTGCTCTCCTCCCTCATCTTCTCTCCTCTGTTGGAACATGTCTTTCTGTACTCCTGCTGAGACAAGGTGAGACACTCCCCTCTCCTCCTTTTCCCTGCAAACACAGTCTGCATACCAATTCTGTCAAAAACCTTCCTTCCCCTCTCCTCCTTTTCCCTGCAAACACTCAGGCTGCATGCCAATTCTGTCAAAAACCTTCCTTCCCTCGTCTCTTTTTCTCCCTAACTACTAAGCTTGAACCTCAAAACATTACTTAACTTTTCAAGTCCAAGATTAGTGGCTATAATGTATTGCCTATAAAGGAAAGGAGTCCAAGTCCACTGGGACACAGCAACAGTTTCAGTCAAACCCTATTCCCTGGTGTCCCTTGCCAGGCCTGGTGTTGCATGTGATGCCTAGAATAGGTACAGTACTGTATCTAACGGTGTGTGTGTGTGTGTGTGTGTGTGTGTTCTCAGATCGTGGGTAACCTGCTGTACTACCGCTATATGAACCCGGCCATCGTGGCGCCCGACGCCTTCGACATCATCGACCTGTCGGCCGGAGGTCAGCTGACCACGGACCAACGGCGGAACCTGGGCTCCATCGCCAAGATGCTGCAGCACGCCGCGTCCAATAAGATGTTCTTGGGGGACAACGCCCACCTCAACCCCATCAACGAGTACCTCAGCAGCTCCTACCAGAAGTTCAGGTGCAGTGGAGGACCGTTTTTATGGGTCGTGTTCATTAGGGCATGCTATGCTTTTACCACTGTCTTGTGGTATAAATATTATCTTGGTGCATTTAATACCCATCCAAGTGTCAGCATTGAAATGGATGCAGATAAAAAAACACGTGCCATTGTTGATAATTTGAAGGGGACTGGCATGTGTTTGAGCGGTCAGAAGACAATTGCACAATCATAAAATCAACAGGAAAACGTGCTTGTACAAGCAAGAGTTAGAATATGCATTGATTTTCTTTTGAAATAAATAGATCCAGCAAAAATGATGTGACACGTGAATTTACACCCCACTTAAATATGGAAAAAATGTCTGGAAAGTGGACTTCCTGAGGTGGGCGGGGCATGTGCGTAGCTCCTTACTCTCCTTGTATCTCTGTCACTCCGCAGGCGTTTCTTCTTGGCGGCGTGTGATGTCCCGTCGTTGGAGGACAAGTTCAACGTGGATCAATACTCTGACCTGGTCACGCTCCAGAAGCCCGTCATCTACATCTCTATAGGGGAGGTCATCAACACACACACGGTCAGTCACACACACACACACACACACACACACACACACACAGGAAGGCATGCTTGTTTCTGCCCTCATAAATAAAAATGTATACTCCCTTACACACTTATCATCTCAGTGAGTTTACTTTGTCTCTGTTGTGAAAAACCCACAATATACATGCAGGAGTCATTTCTACAATTTGTGACTAAGTACTAGTGTATTTGCTCATAGCAAGTACCACAGAGGGGTAAAGTGATAGTAAGTACAAGTGTATTTCCTCATAGCCAGTACCACAGAGGGGTAAAGTGATACTAAGCACTAGTGTATTTCCTCATAGCCATTACCACAGAGGGGTAAAGTGATACTAAGTACTAGTGTATTTTCTCATAGCAAGTACCACAGAGGGGTAAAGTGATACTAAGTACTAGTGTATTTCCTCATAGCCATTACCACAGAGGGGTAAAGTGATACTAAGTACTAGTGTATTTTCTCATAGCAAGTACCACAGAGGGGTAATGTGTTTGGTGTTTTAGTTTTTGTTCCCAAATGAAGCCAAAGACAAAATGTCCACACTGTGTGGACAATAAAGATTTTCACATTGTAATGTTCCTGCTCGTCCCCCCCTCAGCTGCTGTTGGACCACCAGGATGCCATCGCCTCGGAGCACAACGACCCCATCCACGAGCTGCTGGAGGACCTGGGAGAGGTGCCCACCATAGAGTCCCTCATCGGTCAGTACTATAGATATACCATAGAGTCCTTCATCGGTCAGTACCATAGATATTCCATAGAGTCCCTTATCGGTCAGTACCATAGATAATCCATAGTCCCTTGTCGGTCAGTACCATAGATATTCCATATAGTCCCTTATCGGTCAGTACCATAAATATTCCATATAGGCCCTTATCGGTCAGTACCATAGATATTCCATATAGTCCCTTATCGGTCAGTACTATAGATATTCCATAGTCCCTTATCGGTCAGTACTATAGATATTCCATATAGTCCCTTATTGGTCAGTACCATAGATATTCCATATAGTCCCTTATTGGTCAGTACCATAGATATTCCATAGAGTCCCTTATCGGTCAGTACCATAGATATTTCATAGTCCCTTATCGGTCAGTACCATCGATATTCCATATAGTCCCTCATCGGTCAGTATCATCGATATTCCATATAGTCCCTCATCGGTCAGTACCATAGATATTCCATATAGTCCCTTATCGGTCAGTACTATAGATATTCCATATAGTCCCTCATCGGTCAGTACCATAGATATTCCATAGAGTCCCTTATCGGTCAGTACCATAGATATTCCATATAGTCCCTTATCGGTCAGTACCATAGATATTTCATAGTCCCTTATCGGTCAGTACCATCGATATTCCATATAGTCCCTCATCGGTCAGTATCATCGATATTCCATATAGTCCCTCATCGGTCAGTACCATAGATATTCCATATAGTCCCTTATCGGTCAGTACTATAGATATTCCATATAGTCCCTCATCGGTCAGTACCATAGATATTCCATAGAGTCCCTTATCGGTCAGTACCATAGATATTCCATATAGTCCCTTGTCGGTCAGTACCATAGACAAAAGTATTCTGTGTTCATATATCATATATTCATACATGTGTTCATGTTAATATATCATATGTGAAACGTAGAGAGGGCAAGATGAGATAAAGGAACAGGCCTAATAAATATTTCCTATGTGTCCATGGTGTATCTGCTCTGTTCTACCCCTTCAGTGAGGAAACCATACAGTCTTCCAAATGTCTCACCTGTCATCTGTTTCCCCTCTTAGAGCTTCCTTCCACCCTCCCCACAATTTCATGTGTCATTCACGTCCAATGTAGAATCCCAACTCCCTCTCCCCTAACCGTCCCCCTTCTCCCTCCAGGTGAGAGCCCCCTCCCCCCGGGGGACCCCAACAGGGAGACGATGGGGAAGACGGAGGTGTCCCTCACCCTCGCCAACAAGTTTGAAGTCTCTGGAGAGGCCAATGCCGAGATGGACGCCAGGACTCTACTGCTTAAGTAAGACTGTAATATTTTTATACAATAAAGAATACACCCCTTCCCTAGGGCTCTTGTCTAAATCGGTCCTCTCTTCACCTCCTCTCCTGATTGCTCTCATCTGAAAGAACTGACCAGGTGTAGGCCAGCCTAATGATGAGCTGCCACCATATTGTTTTCATCTGTCAAGTTTAATTTCCAATCAGTGCAGATGAAGGAGAGGAGATGAAGCAGAGGAGATAATGAGAGGACAGATTTTTAAGCAATTTGATCCAAGGTGTTAGTTCAAAAGAAGGGCAGATCAGTGACCAGAGTCCTCAGCAGTTTGTGCGTTCCCAGCTGAACCTCCTCACTCTCTCCCTTCCCTCTTTCTGGCCTGCTACACCAGACGTAGTAACCTTTGCAGAGCGTGAGACGCTCCTATTCATTTCAATGAAACCTGGTTGTGAGTGCCGGCTCCGCGAGAGGCTCACGCTGCCCCACAAAAAATTACGCTCTGGTTGTATTTTCAAGATTTCGACGCGCAGCTCACACCCGAGAACAATAGCATAAAGTGGCTTGCGCTCTGCTCACGCCGGCCAAAAGTTGCGCTTCCATTGTAACAGCTAAAAAAAAAACTACTGTTGTCTCGACGCCCTAGAATAGCTCCTATGTCTCTTTCCCCCTATCTCTCTCTCTCCAGCACCAAGCGGCTGATCGTGGATGTGATCCGGTTCCAACCTGGAGATACGCTAACTGAGATTCTGGAGGGGGCTGCCAGTCCTGAACAGGTGAGACACTGGGGAGGTAGAGATAAATGGAGGGAAGGAATGGGAGGGACTGAGGGAGAGAGAGTGACTGAGGGAGAGAGACTAGGGGAGAGGGAGACCTGGACAGAACTTGGCAGTAGAACTCCTAAACAGTACAGTGGGCTCCAAAGGTATTGGGACAGTGACACATTTTGTTGTAGTTTTGGCTCTGTACTCCAGCACTTTGGATTTGAAATGAGAAATTACTATGAGGTTAAAGTGCAGACTGTCAGCTTTAATTGGAGGGTCTTTTCATCCATATCGGGCGAACCGTTTAGGAATTACAGCATTTTTTGTACGTAATCCTCCCATTTTAGGTGACCAAAGTATTGGGACAAATTCACATACAGTACCAGTCAAAAGTTTGGACACACCTACTCATTCAAGGGTTTTTCTTAATTTTTACTATTTTCTACATTGTAGAATGATAGTGAAGACATCAAAACGATGAAATAACACATATGGAATCATGTAGTAACCAAAAAAGTGTTAAACAAATCAAAATATATTTTATATTTGAGATTCTTCAAATAGCTACCCTTTGCCTTGATGACAGCTTTGCACACTCTTGGCATTCTCTAAACCAGCTTCACCTGGAATGATTTTCCAACAGTCTTGAAGGAGTTCCCACATATGCTGAGAACTTGTTGGCTGCTTTTCCTTCACTCTGCCATCCGACTCATCCCAAACCATCTCAATTGGGTTGAGGTCGGGTGATTGTGGAGGACAGGTCATCTGATGCAGCACTCCATCCCTCTCCTTCTTGGTAAAATAGCCCTTACACAGCCTGGAGGTGTGTTGGGTCATTGTCCTGTTGAAAAACAAATGATAGTCCAACTAAGTCCAAACCAGATGGGATGGCGTATCGGTGCAGAATGCTGTGGCAGCCATGCTGGTTAAGTGTGCCTTGAATTCTAAATAAATCACAGACAGTGTTACCAGCAAAGCACCCCCACACCATAACATCTCCTCCTCCATGCTTTACGGTGGGAACTACACATGCAGAGATCATCCGTTCACCCACACCGCATCTCACAAAGACACTGTGGTTGGAACCAAAAATCTCCAATTTGGACTCCAGACTGAAGGACAGATTTCCACCGGTCTAATGTCCATTGCTCGAGTTTCTTGGCCCAAGCAGGCCTCTTCTTCTTATTGGTGTCTTTTAGTAGTGGTTTCTTTGCAGCAATTCGACCATGAAGGCCTGATTCACACAGTCCCCTCTGAACAGCTGATGTTGAGATGTGTCTGTGACTTGAACTCTATGAAGCATTTATTTGGGCTGCAATTTCTGAGGCTGGTAACTCTAATGAACTTATCCTCTGTAGCAGAGGTAACTCTGGGTCTTCCATTGCTGTGGCGGTCCTCATGAGAGCCAATTTCATCATAGCGCTTGATGGTTTTTGCGACTGCACTTGAAGAAACTTTCAAAGTTCATGAAATGTTCCGTATTGACTGACCTTCATGTCTTAAAGTAATGATGGACTGTCGTTTCTCTTTGCTTATTTGAGCTGTTCTTGCCATAATATGGACTTGGCCTTTTACCAAATAGGGTTATCTTCTGTATACCCCCCATACTTTGTCACAACACAACTGATTGGCTCAAACGCATTAAGAAGGAAAGAAATTCCACAAATGAACTTTTAAGAAAGCACACCTGTTAATTGAAATGCATTCCAGGTGACTACCTCATGAAGCTGGTTGAGAGAATACCAATAGTGTACAAAGCTGTTATTGTAAATAAGAATAGAATATGTTTCTAAACACTTCTACATTAATGTGGATGCTACCATGATTATGGATAGTCCTGAATGAATCGTGAATAATGATGAGTGAGAAAGTTAGAGGCATAAATATCATACACCCCCCCCCCCCCGTTGTAATGGTGAGAGTTTAGCATGTCTTGCGTGGGTATGATATTTGTGCATCTAACTTTCGTACCCTGCACATACTAATGGACAAACAAACAAACCAAAATAAAAGCTAAGTCTTCTCATGCTATGTTGATTTCAAAAAAGCTTTTGACTCAATTTGGCATGAAGGTATGCTATATAAATTGATGGAAAGCAGTGTTCGGGGAAAAACATACAACATTTATAAAATCCATGTACACAAACAACAAGTGTGCGGTTAAAATTGGCAAAAAACAAATGTATTTCCACAGGGCCGTAGGGTGAGACAGGGATGCAGCTTGAGCACCACCCTCTTCAACATATATATCAATGAATTGGCGAGGGCACTAGAACAGTCTGCAGCACCCGGCCTCACCCTACTAGAATCTGAAGTCAAACGTCTACTGTTTGCTGATGATCTTGTGCTTCTGTCCCCAACCAAGGAGGGCCTACAGAAGCACCTAGATCTTCTACACAGATTCTGTCAGACCTGGGCCCTGACAGTAAATATCAGTAAGACCAAAATAATGGTGTTCCAAAAAATGTCTAGTTGCCAGGACAACAAATACAAATTCCATCTAGAGACCGTTGCATTAGCGCATACAAAAAACGATATCTTCCTCGGGCCTAAACATTAGCACCACAGGTAACTTCCACAAAGCTGTGAACGATCTGAGAGACAAGGCAAGAAGGGCCTGCTATGCCATCGAAAGGAACATAACATTCGACATACCAATTAGGATCTTGCTAAAAATACTTGAATCAGTTGCAGAACCCATTGCCCTTTATGGTTGTGAGTACTGGGGTCCGCTCTCCAACCAAGAATTCACAAAATTGAGACTGCATGCAGAATTCAGAAAAAAACTCCCTCGGTGTACAACGTAAAACACCAAATAATGCATGCAGAGCAGAATTAGGACGATACCCGCAAAATCCATTGAGACGTTAAATTCTATAACCACCTAAAAGGAAGCAATTCCCAAACCTTCCATAACATAGCCATCACCTACAGAGAGATGAGCCTAGTGAAGTCCCCTCAGCCAGCTGGTCCTGGGTCTCTGTTCACAAACACAAACAGACCCCACAGAGCCCCAGGACAGCTACACAATTAGACCCAAACAAATCAGATAATTAATTGACACATTTCAAAGAATTAACCAAAGAACAGCGCAAACTGGAATGCTATCTGGCCCTAAACAGAGAGTACACGGTGCCAAAACCTGAACTGTATAAATGATGGAAGCAGTGTCGGGGGAAAAACAACACATTATAAAACTGTACACAACACAATGTGCGGTTAAAAGGCAAAAACAATGTTTCACAGGGCGTAGGTGAGACGGGATGCAGTTGAGCACCACCCTCTTCAACATACAGTGGGGGAACAGTTTTATACAGCCGATTTTGCAGGTTTTCCTACTTACAAAGCATGTAGAGGTCTGTAATTTTTATCATTGGTGCACTTCAACTGTGAGAGACGGAATCTAAAAACAAAAATCCAGAAATCACATTGTATGATTTTTAAGTAATTAATTTGCATTTTATTGCATGACATAAATATTTGATACATCAGAAAAGCAGAACTTAAATTGGTACAGAAACCTTTGTTTGCAATTACAGAGATCATACGTTTCCTGTAGGTCTTGACCAGGTTTGCACACACTGCAGCAGGGATTTTGGCCCATTCCTCCATACAGACCTTCTCCAGATCAGTCAGGTTTCGGGGCTGTCGCTGGGCAATACGGACTTTCAGCTTCCTCCAAAGATTTTCTATTGGGTTCAGGTCTGGAGACTGGCTAGGCCACTCCAGGACCTTAAGATGCTTCTTATGGAGCCACTCCTTAGTTGCCCTGGCTGTGTGTTTCGGGTCGTTGTCATGCTGGAAGACCCAGCCACGACCAATCTTCAATGCTCTTACTGAGGGAAGGAGGTTGTTGGCCAAGATCTCGCGATACATGGCCCCATCCATCCTCCCCTCAATACGGTGCAGTCGTCCTGTCCCCTTTGCAGAAAAGCATCCCCAAAGAATGATGTTTCCACCTCCATACTTCACGGTTGGGATGGTGTTCTTGGGGTTGTACTCATCCTTCTTCTTCCTCCAAACACGGCGAGTGGAGTTAAGACCAAAAAGCTATATTTTTGTCTCATCAGACCACATGACCTTCTCCCATTCCTCCTCTGGATCATTCAGATGGTCATTGGCAAACTTCAGACGGGCCTGGACATGCGCTGGCTTGAGCAGGGGAACCTTGCGTGCGCTGCAGGATTTTAATCCATGACGGCGTAGTGTGTTACTAATGGTTTTCTTTGAGACTGTGGTCCCAGCTCTCTTCAGGTCATTAACCAGGTCCTGCCGTGTAGTTCTGGGCTGATCCCTCACCTTCCCCATGATCATTGATGCCCCACGAGATGAGATCTTGCATGGAGCCCCAGACCGAGGGTGATTGACCGTCATCTTGAACTTCTTCCATTTTCTAATAATTGCGCCAACAGTTGTTGCCTTCTCACCAAGCTGCTTGCCTATTGTCCTGTAGCCCATCCCAGCCTTGTGCAGGTCTACAATTTTATCCCTGATGTCCTTACACAGCTCTCTGGTCTTGGCCATTGTGGAGAGGTTGGAGTCTGTTTGATTGAGTGTGTGGACAGGTGTCTTTTATACAGGTAACGAGTTCAAACAGGTGCAGTTAATACAGGTAATGAGTGGAGAACAGGAGGGCTTCTTAAAGAAAAACTAACAGGTCTGTGAGAGCCGGAATTCTTACTGGTTGGTAGGTGATCAAATACTTATGTCATGCAATAAAATGCAAATTAATTACTTAAAAATCATACAATGTGATTTTCTGGATTTTTGTTTTAGATTCCGTCTCTCACAGTTGAAGTGTACCTATGATAAAAATTACAGACCTCTACATGCTCTGTAAATAGGAAAACCTGCAAAATCGGCAGTGTATCAAATACTTGTTCTCCCCACTGTATATATCAATGAATTGGCGAGGGCACTAGAACAGTCTGCAGCACCCGGCCTCACCCTACTAGAATGTCTACTGTTTGCTGATGATCTTGTGCTTCTGTCCCCAACCAAGGAGGGCCTACAGAAGCACCTAGATCTTCTACACAGATTCTGTCAGACCTGGGCCCTGACAGTAAATCTCAGTAAGACCAAAATAATGGTGTTCCAAAAAATGTCCAGTTGCCAGGACAACAAATACAAATTTCATCTAGAGACCGTTGCATTAGCGCATACAAAAAACGATATCTTCCTCGGGCCTAAACATTAGCACCACAGGTAACTTCCACAAAGCTGTGAACGATCTGAGAGACAAGGCAAGAAGGGCCTGCTATGCCATCGAAAGGAACATAACATTCGACATACCAATTAGGATCTTGCTAAAAATACTTGAATCAGTTGCAGAACCCATTGCCCTTTATGGTTGTGAGTACTGGGGTCCGCTCTCCAACCAAGAATTCACAAAATTGAGACTGCATGCAGAATTCAGCAAAAAAACTCCCTCGGTGTACAACGTAAAACACCAAATAATGCATGCAGAGCAGAATTAGGACGATACCCGCAAAATCCATTGAGACGTTAAATTCTATAACCACCTAAAAGGAAGCAATTCCCAAACCTTCCATAACATAGCCATCACCTACAGAGAGATGAGCCTAGTGAAGTCCCCTCAGCCAGCTGGTCCTGGGTCTCTGTTCACAAACACAAACAGACCCCACAGAGCCCCAGGACAGCTACACAATTAGACCCAAACAAATCAGATAATTAATTGACACATTTCAAAGAATTAACCAAAGAACAGCGCAAACTGGAATGCTATCTGGCCCTAAACAGAGAGTACACGGTGCCAAAATACCTGACCACTGTGACTGACACAAAATTAAGGAATGCTTTCACTATTTATTGACTCAGTGAGCATATTGAGTGAGGCCGCCATAGGCAGACTTGGCTCTCAAGAGAGGACAGGCTATGTGCCCACTGCCCACAAAATGAGGTGGAAACTGAGCTGCACTTCCTAACCTCCTGCCAAATGTATGACCACATTAGAGACACATATTTCCCACAGATTACACAGACCCACAAATAATTTGAAAACAAATCAAATCTTGATAAAGTCCCATATCTATTAGGTGAAATAGCACAGTGTGCAATCACAGTAGCAAGATGTGTGACCTGTTGCCACAAGAAAAGGGCAACCAGTGAAGCACAAACACCATTGCAAATACAACCCATACTTACTATATGTTTATTTATTTTCCCTTTTCTACTTCAACACTGTACATAGCCATAATAACATTTCAAATGTCTCTATTATTTTGATTTTTTTGTGTAATGTTTACTGTTGATTTCTGATTGTTTATTTCACTTTGTTTATCTATTTCATTTGGTTTGGCAATGTAAACATGTTTCCCATGCAAATAAAGCCCATTGAATTGAGGGAGGGAGGGGGAGGGAAGGATGCAAGCCTGTAATATTAGTTAGCAGCTCACATACTAACAGTTGATCCTGGTTTTTGATGATATAGTTGTGCCCTAGTTAAATAAAGCAGAGAGGGCACACCACTAAAGACTGACAGCATGCACCAGGTTTATAGTAGTCAACTGAGTAGGACTTCCTCTGGGTTGGGGAGGGATCACTTGTGCACAGTAACCGTATAGGGTGAAGTTGCCCCTAGACGCTGATCTTGAGGCAGTTTAGCATTTTCCCCACTACGGTTAAGGTTAGAATTGGAGGAGGGGAAGCTGATCCTAGATCTGTGCCTAGGGGAAACTTCACTCTCGCGCACACTAACAGCAACACATGACATCACCCTTGTTTCCCCCCTCCCAGGAAGTGGAGTACCAGCGTGCTATGCAACGGCGGGCCATCCGCGACGCCAAGACCCCGGAGAAGATGAAGCAGGCCAAGCCGGCGGTGGTGGATGACAGCCTGACGCTGCAGGGCAAGAAGGACAAGATCAGGAGCAACCTGCAGCGGCTGGCAGAGCTGGGCAAGGTGCACCCTGAGAACCGCTACCAGGACCTCATCAACGACATCGCCAAGGTACTGTACAGCTCGCTAGTTGAAGCTGTGTGTGTCCACCCCTAGAACCACTTCCAGGACCTCATCAACGATATCGCCGCGGTACTGTGTGTGGGGGGGGTGTGCTAGTGTTTCTGTATCTGTCACGTGATGTGTGTGTGGTACTTATCATATACGTGTGATTATGGATGTTTTTGTATATGTGCCCCATAAAATATAACGTGTGTGTTACAGGACATCCGAAATCAGCGGCGGTATCGGCAGCGGAGGAAGGCGGAGCTGGTGAAGCTCCAACAGACCAACACCGCCCTCAACTCCAAGACCGCCTTCTACAACGTCCAGATCGACTACTACAACCAGTACATCAAGACCTGCATGGACAACCTGGCCAGCAACAAGGGGAAGTGAGTGGCCTTTCTCTTCATACCAGAGGGAAGACACTAGCCTCCAGGTTTGAGAGGTGGGCCAGTAACCGGAGGGATGCAGGTTTGAATCCCAGTGTTGACGGAGGATGTTTTGTATGCGAGTAGAATAAAGGATCAAGAGCTCAACTCGGAATTCTTATTACAAAAATGTTGATGGGTGAAGGGTTGTAAGTGAATAAGATAGACGGGGAAACCTGCACTGCAGAGGTCACAAAGGTTTGAGCCTATTAGAGGGCTGGGTGGAGCCATCAGCATACTTCTTACATCTGGGTTGTGTTCATTAGGACATACATTAACAAAATGTTACAAAACGTAACACGTGTTTGTTATTGGACAAGTCTAGGAAGTACCTCGCCATTTTATTCAGTTTTAGACTGTTTTATTCTGTTTCGTGCCTAGTGAACACAACCCTGAACATAGAAGGGTTGCCGTTACAAAAGAGGGTAGGGTCCGGAATGGAACTACCAAATTGTTATTGGTTCTAGCACAAGGCAACTGCATCTCAAGTTGAGGAAACATCCTTACATGGACTGCTATTTCCTCTGCTATGTTACGATGTGTGGCAGTGTTATGGACAGACTCTCTCTCCCTCTCTCCCTCCCTCCTCAGGCTGTCAAAGAAACCAGGTGACACCAAGGCCAAGAAGAGTAAACAGGTGTCTCAGAAATACACCGCCGCTCGCCTCCATGAGAAGGGTGTGCTGATCGAGATTGAAGACCTGCAGACAAACCAGTAAGTTAAAGATACACCTTGGAAGACCTGCAGACAAACCAGTAAGTTAAAGATACACCTTGGAATTACCTGCAGACAAACCAGTAAGTTAAAGATACACCTTGGAAGACCTGCAGACAAACCAGTAAGTTAAAGATACACCTTGGGAGATCTGCAGACAAACCAGTAAGTTAAAGATACACCTTGGGAGACCTGCAGACAAACCAGTAAGTTAAAGATACACCTTGGGAGATCTGCAGACAAACCAGTAAGTTAAAGTTACACCTTGGAAGACCTGCAGACAAACCAGTAAGTTAAAGATACACCTTGGATGTTTAGTTGATAATTGTTTACCAAATGTTGGCTTGAATGTTAGCTGTATGGTAAATATGATGTAATATGAATACATGTCTTATCTCATGACACCATACAAATCCTTAGTTTTATGCAAACAAAAGGGTTAATGCTTTTGCTCAGAATGGGTGAGGGTAGCTGTGCCCCTTTCTGTCCTCTTTTAATCAATCAATCAACCAATCAATCCATGACTCTCAATTACAAATCTGATAAACCAAAAACACACTTTCATGTAAACATTTTAAGTCATACAATCGACTGCGCCGAGACATCAGATCCAGTTGCCAGTTTTTTGGTAACCAAGCCGTTAACCAAGAGCATGAACATTAAGCTCTCTAGCCAATGGCTACACACAGAGAATTTGTGTCCGAAACATCCGGTTTGAGACAGCTTTTATTTTAATGGGAGTCATCTGTTGACAGATGATGGACGGCGGAGATGTTTGTCTGATTAAAAAAACTCACAAATTTCGCTCTTTTATTGATGCAACTCGTACGAAAATAATTGACTTGAGTTGAACTTTTGACGGTCAAAAACGAACAATTGATGAAAACCTATAAGATTTAATCTGTGTGGCCGTAGCCTATATCTATATATCTCACGCATATTTGCATATACAGAACTTACTACTTTGGCACTGTACCCATACCTGCCCGTATAATTCCCATACCTGCATAGTGACACACACACACATACACCCACCCACCCTGACCGAGTGGGCACCTGTTCAGAGACTACACCAACATGACACACTGTGTACACTCCCATCCCACCCCACCCCTACACAGGTTTAAGAACGTTATCTTTGAGATCTCTCCGTCGGAGGCGGTTGGAGTGTTCGATGTGAAGGCCAAGTTCATGGGAGTGCACTTGGAGACGTTACAGTTGGAATACCAGGTATATATACTGTATGATTGAATGAATTAATGAATGATGTACAGTGATGCAGGAATGTGAGAAAGAAGGTGGTGGTCAAATGGGATTTTATGGTTTGTTGATATTTCTGTTGTCTGTTTTTATACTTTTTGTAATGATTCCTTCTCACTTTCTCTCTCTCCTCCTCTTCATCCCTCTCTTCCTCTCCCCCCTCTCCATCTCTCTCTCCATCTGTCTCTCCATTCTACCCTCCCTCTCTCCTCCCTCCTCCCTCAATCTCTTCCTTCTCTTCTCTCTCCCAGGACCTCCTGCAGCTGCAGTACGAGGGTGTGGCTGTGATGAAGCTCTTCGACAGGGCCACCATCAATGTCAACCTGCTCATCTTCCTGCTCAACAAGAAGTTTTACGGAAAATAGATGGATGAGACGGGGAGAGAGAGAGGGAAGGAGAGGGGGCTACAGACACTGTTGAGAACAGAACATCTAACAGAGAGGGCCTTTGCCCCATGCTGTCTTATCTTAGCTCGGTTTCCCCCTCTTCCGCACTACTTTAAGTATGCATTCATTATGTGCCTTATTGAGATGGAATATTCACCGTACGGTATGTGCCTTATTCTCCAAGGAAAAGTCATCCGGAAGCCTGCTGGATGCTCCAAGTGTATCCTAGTCGGGATCCAGAGTGCGTGATCCAGAGTGCTTGTTGCGTTTTGTGTTACTATGTTACTGTAAGGCGGTCAAAGGTATAAGATAGGGATTTGTCTGTGTCAGGCGCTCGTTTTCCGGTTATTTGAAACACAGTTCAAGAGTTGCATGTTGATGACATCACGCAAGCAATTTTGTCATACAGTATAGCTTTAAGAAACTTGCAAATCCACTATTGGCATAGGAAATAGCCTTTCAAGAGTAGAGACTAAACTGAACAATCAATGTAGAAGAGATGTTTTATCATGCTTTGTGTTAAATAAATTTATAAATCGAAAACTGTCCTTATTTATTCATGTTTAAGTGTTGTGAGTCCTCCAAGTATAGTTAACATTACTTCCTTTTATTTTCCTTTAAGGAGCATAGTTGTATCAGAGCAAATCACGTTTCATAGTTCTTTAGTCACACATTCATTATTAATTGAAAATACGGTGACTTCAGTTTTTTTTACTGCGTTAACCACTCTAAAGGAAACCGTTCATACACTCCAGTCTAGAGTGCAGTATTATATAATAATGAAGAGAGATATGCTTTAGGTTCCAGTAGATGTCACTCACTGTACACTAAACAAACCGTCTCGGCACAGAATCCTTATGACAATTAGTTCTATTTCAGAAGACTGGAAAGCGTGATATACAGTACTGCCTTCTCACAATTGTTTTGAAATGTTTTTGTTTTTTAAACCAGTGTACCCTTGTATTGAAGTTAATTTACACTGGGCCTAACCAGGATATAGTTATCTAGGAGCCTATGTTCTTTCTGTGCTATGTTTTGCCCGTAGTCCATAGAATGTTTTACATGTTATAAAATTAATAAAGCTTTAATAATGCATTATGTCATTTATTTCAATTTTATATCATCCACAAGTAATTTTTCTTGTGAGATATGTATTACCAGTGACACTTTATAATAACATTCATTAAGATGCTTAAATGCTTTTTAAATGATTTAAATGCTTAGAATACTTACACATGATTATACAATTTAATGTTCATAAAAGGTGGAATACACATTGATTACTATGCACACTATTTATGAATAGTAAATTGACTTTAAGGGAAGGTTTCCCAAAACCAGATCCAGCCTAGTCCTGGACTATTCAGGATTACCCTAATCTCTGTCTGGGAAACTGGTCCTATTAGTTCAAATGTATTGTTTTGCAGAATATAATATCAGTATAATGTCATTTGCATTGTATGATGTCTGGTTGTAAGATTTTATATGATAGATATAACTTAATACAATATATTAATATATTGGGGCCTGGTACTGTATGTCCATGGATGGTTGGATAGGTTTGAGAATGAAAAGCACAATTTAAGGAACTGAATAAGTCAAGCTCATTTACTTTCATGTGTGTTCCACTGTGGTAAAATACATATTTACGATTGTTCTGAGCACTTAAATGTTTGTCATTTTATTTAGTAGACATTTATATCCAGGTCAATTACCATTCGGTTTACTAAATAATGAGGCTGAACAACCGTATGATAAAGGCTAGGCCGGAAGTAGACAAATATAAGCACCCACCTAATTTGTATTATTATTTAAAGGCAAATTTCCAATTGAGCCGATATCTGCAGTGTTTACCTTGAATGCCATCTTTGCAAACATGGTAACATGTCCAATCTGATTAAATCCCGTCCTAGGTGTCACAAGCAAAACACTAACAGAAATAGTCCCCATGTTCCCCATGGTATCATATACACAAGATTATGTAATATACCATTTCTTATCTTAGTGGATGCTATGATTAAATTATGTACAAAATGAAACAAAAACACTGATACCTTTTTTTCAGACAAAGGCTAGATTTTCACACCAAGGCTATATTCAGAAGTGGTTAGAGTCAAATATTTCAGTGTATCTAGGCTATATTCAGGAGTGGTTACAGTCAAATATTTCAGTGTATCTAGGCTATATTCAGAAGTGGTTAAAGTCAATTATTTCAGCGTATCAAGTGATCCCCAGTGTCAAATAATCTCAGGTTGGCAATCACCTCTACTATAAACTAGGTTTCAATCCAATTGATGACAGATTTTCATGCAAATATTTTAAAATCTGCATAAAGAAAATGTGTGCATTTTCCCACCAGAGGTGTTTCCACCTAACTGACTTGTTGTGGGTAAAAATCAGTGTGTGATGAGGTAGTGCACACAAAATGTACTTTTTCGCTTAAGTTTTCATGTCCTGAATAAAAATCTAAAATGAATTGTGTTTCCATTGCATTTTCAACTCTACCAATAGTTTTGTCACAAAAACTTGCATTAAATAGCAAATGTGCCTACTCTGGTGTTGGCACGTGCGCTCTAGCCAACAGCTCCCAGATACAGTGCGGGTAGGCTAGTCTACATGATAAGATTATGGATAAGAGCGAGAATATTTTTATTTGTCAAACGGCAGTCAAGCATCGATAATCATGTCTCCAGAATAAGACCCTCTATTTAGTGGAAAGAAGCATCAAGCTCATCATCATGCACTTTCACCACCATGTGAAGTTCATAACTTATTTCATCTGTAGCCTAATAAACTACATGGTTTCCCAAGTTGTAGTGGGAGGAGCACAAACCATATCATCGCATGACTCCAAATTTACTTCGATATGATGGTTATTATATAAATATTTGCGCATAAAGACGCTTGACCACCATTTCTTGCATAATTTATTTTACCGAAACAAACAGATCCCACCATGTCGAACAAACTTTGTGTTTCGGTACAATTTTATAAAAGCCAACAGATAAATTGACTTTTTATTTATACTGAATGACTTAACTCGCATAAAAACTGTGGATGGAAACTTGTTATTGGCTCCAATAAAAAGGATGCCTTTGAAGTGTTTCCATGCTGCCATTTTCAGTTGGATAATGCAGCCAGCTAAACGTCCCCTTTAAGAGTTCTTCACTGCCCTCCTGTGGACATAACCGGTAAGGTTGTTTCGGCTGTTTTTATGCAGCAGGATCAGTGGAGAAAGGGATCTCACTAGATAACGAGAGCCGACAAACTATGGAGCGATATGCAACAGGAGGAGACAAGACGAGAGGAAGCTAGACTTTACCGCATGGATTTGAATGTTTACATGCTAGCTAAATATAGCTGGTAAAAAATAGTTGTAACAGTTATAGTCGACCTGCCTGTGTGGATAATCAGAGGACAAGAATCGAAACCAATGTTTTTGAGTTCGAAAGATTTGGATTTGGATATTTGCAATCTGGTAACGCTCGCGCTGCTACTGCAAAATCTTTCCGACACTTGTTGAAATGACATTTCGAAATCTTCTCCACAAGGGAAGTATTCGCTAATGAAAACATTGCTAACTAACAACTATATTTGGGCTAATTCCATCTAACTGCCGAGGGTAACGTTAGCTAATATTGTTTTAGATAGCTAAAGATTTGTAAGCTAACGTTAGTTGCGCTTCTCTTCTGCTGTTCGTGTCGCATTACGGGGTAGCTAACGTTACTGTACTAGCTATCTGCGTAGCTATAGTTTTTATCGATGAACATATTTTTATATACTGCATAAAATGACAATTTTGATAGCTTTGAAGAGGTTGAAGTACTTATTAGTTGTTATTTAGCTACGCGTGTTGCCTCAATTGACAATGCACTATTATATACTTCCTGAAATATTTTAAGCTAAATTGTTAATGAAGAAAATGGAAGTGACAGGTAGCTAGCTAGCACTGGCACTCTCTCACGCTAGCTAGTTAGCATAACTAGCTACTGATTGAGTTTCAAACAAGTTGTTGGCTTGTTATTAGTTTAGCTAACTATTTACAAATGAAAATGTTTTCACATGCATTGACAATACGTTGGATGTATAAAACTCAAGAACTTCGATAATTGTTGTGACTCCTTACTTGCTGGACACGAAAATACAATATATTTTGGAATTTGATGATTTGTTTACAAACACTTGTCAGCTGAACTGTTTACTATTGTTAGTTAGCTAACTTATGTGGCTATCGAGCTAAAGTTAGCTAGCACCCAAGATTTGCCAACGCGACGATTTTTGAAGCAGCACTGATGGATTCGCTAAAAGTGGACTGACATACAAAACTACACTATCTATATTTGTGCACCAAGCACTCGCTTTACATTTTTTAAGTAAAGTTTTGAAACTGTGCGGCCCACACCATGTCCGGATCCCCGGGCTCGGGTGGCTCAAACCCCAGGAAGTTCAGCGAAAAGATAGCGCTGCACAACCAGAAACAAGCAGAGGAGACGCGGGCCTTCGATCAGCTTATGACAGATCTCACTGTCTCAAGGGTAAGCAGATCCCTGTCTATAAATATCGAATTATTAAGTGTGATTATTAGTGCATGAGTTGTCTCAAACTAGATAAGAATGCCATGTTTATTTTGATCAAGGAAGTTGGACAGGCAATCCCGCAAGGTGTGAATGCTCTCCGCTGTCAAGCAGCGGGGCACCTGTCAAACTTGTAAAACGAATTACAATTCATTGAGGTTATAGTTAGGCAGGCTACTTCGAAATAAGGCTAGCTGTTAAAAAAAAAAATACCCCTATGGTTATTGTTTAGTATAGAACTACAATGACTGTAGTTAACAATGAGGTTGTTTTTAATACTTACAACAAGGAGAATCATAAATCGATGTTAAATTCATCAGGATTGTTTGGAAATATATTTAGCCTAAACAGGGGGCTATCAATCGATGGCTGACAGTTCACACTCACTAATTAGACATAGGCCATCATTGATCACTGCCTTGTGTGTGATGTCATCTGAACAGAAACATCACCAGTGAACATGCTTTCTGCACCACCCACTCTTGCACTAGTCAGCCTATTCTTGTATGAAATGATTGGTTAATAACCAGCCAGCAGCTGCATATTCTTTTATGAGTCATCATTAGCAGCAATGTGTTGTTGTCATATGATGATGTATAGATGGCAATTGTAATGGCGCCTCTAATTTTGCCTGCACAATATACTGTGGCTTAGCTACATTCCCCTGTAATCATCTGTTTGAATAAACCATTATGTTGCATTTTTTTATACAGAGAAGTGAGATCTTCAGACCTGACTTTTCTGCACTGAAAGGGACCCAAACCGCTAATTATGTGCAGATCTCATCCATTTGACTATTTATTACATTTACATTTTAGTCAGTTAGCAGACACTCTTATCTAGAGCAACTTACAGTTACTAATGTTAATGTAGCTAGGCTAATTTTGAGTTGGGCAGCACTTTACATTTGTCAGGACAATTGCATTCTACAACACCCAAGGCCAGTTTACTGTTAGGCTGCATCAAGGTCTCAAATCAATCCCCTCTATTGTGAACGAGCAGCTCTCACATTGCTTTACAGTGGGACACACACACACACACACAGTCATGCTGCTCTTATCTTCAATAGAGCCCTCGAGGTCTCTCCTGCATTTATCTTAATGGAGTAAAAAGGCAGAGTTATTGGGGGCGTTGGGTGACGCATGCCTGGTTTTGCTCAGTGTTGGTAGCCTGCAACCGTTGGAGGTTGGCAGGTTGAATGTAAAGATGGCAAGGGCATCCTTGTATTGGGGACTTATTTGCTGAGGAATGTAACTGTTTTCTGGGTGATTTGTGAGGTTTTATTTGCGCTTCCCATGACTGTGTTTTTGTATTTTAATGTGTGTGTAAAATAAAATGAATGGCCAAAGCTTGCAGGGAACCTTGTGTAGACATACCAGGCCTGCCTCATCTGCTAACTACTCATAACCAGTTCACCATGTGTATCCAGCTAGCTAGGAAGGACACTTCTTGTGGGTCTGAGTCACTTGAAATGTACCAGCTTTGCATCCAATGTCATATTTAAATGACTTATATTAAGAAGCAGAATGGAAAGCAGCATCGTTCTTGTTTGGAACAATCGGTTGACTGCATTTAACCTTACAGAACAGCAAGCAAACTTATAGTGAATCTAACAGCGAGGAGGAGGAACTGTGCTGCTTGAGTGACAGGGGAGGCGCCAGGCCCCCAGTGTCCGGTCTGGAGCGTGAAGTCATTAGCTCTGCTGGTCGGCTACTGCGTAGCAAACTAGCAGTGCCAAAGCCCTGGTCTGCCCTAGAAAGCCTATGTCAATTACGATCGCCAGAACGGCCAAACCCAAAAAATGTAGGCGCCTGTTTTGAGCTCTAAAAGTAGTTTTTCTTATTTTGATCAAGTCCAACTACGAATTATTTTAAAGTTCGCTACAAATCGAGATATTTAATTAAATAGTGATCCATTCCGACTACAACATTTGTCGTCACACAGGACCACGTGCTGACACACCAATCACGGTCCGGCAGGCTACGAGGAGGCTCGCGCCCTCATGCACGTGTCTCTCATGCAGGATGAAAACGACTACATCGACCATGATCCTTTGCTAGTTACGGCCACTTTCACTATTTTTCTAATGTATTATTTTGTTGTGCTATTCAGCCCCATTCAGCAATAAGGCACACTTCAAATACTTCCCGCTTCATGCGCCATCGGGAGTTTTCCATGGGAATACGTGGATGAAGTCACCATCTACTGGTTTTAATGTCTATGGGAGGCACTTGGTGTGTGTGGGAAGCAGCCGCAAGAGGAGGAGAACTGAGTAAACTATAACAAATGTTGCAAGTGGCTGAGATGCGTTTCAGAATATTGCATGCGATATAAATCTCTTTTAATGTGGATATCGCACATGTCACTATTGCGATTTCGATGTGAATTTGATTAATTGTGCAGCGCTTTATATGCAGTGCATTCGGAAAGTTTTCAGACCCCTTGACTTTTTCCACATTTTCTTACTTTACAGCCTTATTCTAAAATTGGTTAAATAAAACAATTTCCTCATCAATCTAAATACCTCATAATGACAAAGTGAAAAGAGGTTTTAGAAAATTTAGAAAATGTATTAAAAATAAAACAGATACCTTATTTACATAAGTATTCAGACCCTTTGCTGTGAGACTCAATTGAGCTCAGGTGCTACTACACGCACACAGTCAAGAAAACTGACATGATCTCCTGGGAAAAAATATAAAGGTTCCATTCATGTTATTTCCATACCATCGGTTCACAATGTCTTCTTTTATGAGAGGCCAGAGTTGGAAATGGCCAGTTAAAGGAGATGTGGTTTGGAGGCTACTCCGAGTGATGTTGCCCATAAGGTATGAACTGTTGATGACCCTTGAGAGACAGAGGCCCAGTGAGTGGGTTGCAGCAAACGGCTGTAATTAAAACTCTCTGTTTCAACATTCACAACAGGCCATTACAGGCTGAGTTGAAAGTGCTCGAATGGCACTGAGTTGGTTTGTTTTAGGGCTGGGAATTGCCAGGGATCTCACAATATGATATTATCGCGATATGTTGGTGCCGGTACGATATGTATTGCGATTCTCACTATTCTATACAGTGAGCTCCAAAAGTATTGGGACAGTAACACATTTTTTTGTTTTGGCTTTGTACTCCAGCACTTCTATTCTTATTTACAATAAGTGACTCCAAAATGACACAATGCATTATTTACCATTAATTTCTATTAGGCACAAAATAATCTGAAACACAACCAAAACAAACAGCAAATGCATCCAAAATGTGTAGTCACAAGCTTGATGTAGTCATTGCATGCTATGGATGTGGGACCAAATACTTAACTTTTGACTACTTTAGTACACAGAAGTCAATGTGTCCCAATACTTTTGGTCACCTAAAATAGGGGGACTATCTACAGAAAATGCTGTAATTCTCTAAATGCTTCAACCGATATTGTGAAGATACCCTCAAATTAAAGCTGACAGTCTGCACTTTAACCTAATTTCCAATCCAAAGTGCTACAGAGCCAAAACAATTGCAATTTGATACTGTGACTTTATTGCAATTTGATGTTCCAAATATATTGCTCCTGCAGAGGGATGCGAGAGCCATGAGAAAACAAGTTTTGATCAGTCATGGAATTAAAGGTGCTTAAAACAAATTGGCTCCCTATTTAAAAAGATGGAGAACAAGCTATGAAGGAAAAATACTGGAGTTTTGGTGCAGGTACAGCAAATTAGTGCAAAAATAATATTGTGATATTGTCAAAAATAATATCCCTATATGTAACTATCAATTTAAATTTTGCCCGTCACTAGTTTGTTTTTACCTGAAGGTAAACTGCTACTGCTTTCCCACCGCTGTAGGTAGTAGACCAGGCTATTTCACTGAATGGTGTAGGAGTTTGCCTGCTAACTTGGATAAACGCATAGGGCAGTCTACATGTAGGTTGACACAGGTTTTTCTGGTTTGTATTGAAAGCAAAGTGTTCATGTGTCTTTTTGAACTAGGAAATATGAAGTTGTTGTTGTTGCACACTCTTTAGGAAAGTAAGCTAGCAAAGTCTGTTCCTGCTTTGTGAAAAAGGTCTACACCGGTGCTTCATGGTCTGCAGATGCTTTCTGCTTCTCCTATGTTGTTAATCTGCAGTTTGTCACTAAGGCCCTTGTATGAGTTGTTGTGGAAATCGCCTGGATTGCCTCCTTTTAACCCGTGGGAATGATGCCACCGCAAGGTCTTCCACATTTTGTCCCTCTGTGCCTTTTATGAATACTATTATTGGATACTCTGAGGAGCTGGAGTGTGTGTGTTTGTGTGTTCTGTTTTTTTTTTTTTTTTTTTTTTTTTTTTTTTTGGGGGGATGGATCAGCTTAATATTGCAGATAGATTGTATCTTCTATCAATGTAATTGTCTGCATCACTTCCAATCCCCCATGTTTATTTTTATTTTTTATATATATATTCCCCTTTATTACTTTTCAACCCCACCATCCTTTCCCTACTTGGAGTAAATTAGTGAACAACAACGCCCAGGCCTCTACTTCCGGTCTATACTTACTATCTACACCTTATGGACAGAGTTAATTTTACAATAATTCTATATATATATATATATATATATATATATATATTTATTTATTTATTTATTTATTTATTTATTTATTTATTTTTTTGCTCCTGAACTTCTTCTACTCTCAACCTCTCCGATCATTTTCATGATGTCCATCCGGTTTGCTTCTAAATGCCATATCTTTCTAACTGTGCTCTTTCCCAAAAGCTGTTTGTGTGTTCTGTTTATGATGGATGTATTTGGGGTTTGTCTTGTTGCTTTATCCCTTCCTCTAAAACCCCATTCGTTAAGCACTGTTTTAACCAATTGGCTGGGAGTATATTAAAATAGTCCTGCGTTTTTGTTTTGGCTTTGGCGGGACAGTCTCTGTCTTGTGATAGGTTTTATATTAAGGTGTGGTCTATGCCAGGTTAGGTAGGCTATCTGGGAAGCTGGGGAAAAGAGGGAGTGAGTTTTGGTTTTGGCAATGAGATTGCTATGCATTTTGGGGAAATTCCCTCTCAAGTTGCTCTTGAGGGGCTGTTGGATTCAGAACAGAGGTTGTGGTTTGTACGTGCTGAGTCCAACAGGGCTGGGCGATATATCAAATTAATTTGAAAGTATGTTTTAGTGTGATGTTCCAAATGCCTGTATCGCAATAATTAACGTTATTCCCCCCCCACCCCCCGTTTTTATGAGCGTTCTGTCTTTTTGGGCTTGTCTCCTTATGTGCCGTGTGCACTGTGCACCTTCCCACTGGCACACAGACACCAAGCCCCTCCCCCTGCCACTCACCACAACAAAATACAAAAGATAACTTCTTCCTCACTGACAACAAGCAGTTTAAACTCGCAATTTGCATTTTGAGGTTTAGTCCAACAGAATCGGGTCATATGGACAGCGAAACGTTTAGAGACGTCTATTACAGTATAATAATGAGAAGTTAACCTTTCTAACGATACCCTTTTTATGTCTCCCCTCCCAAAATGTAGAATTGAGCAGACCCTACTAAAATAAGAGTATCAATGAACATGATGTATGCTCAGTTTCTGTCACGCGCTGCATTGTGCTACCACATACCGCTAGCAGCATTTTAGCCACAGACTGTTATGTGCTAGCTGTCTGGTCTGTGTTTTTATAAATGTGCAATGAGCATACAAATACAAATTTATATTAGGGTTGGGCGGTATCCAATGTTCATACCGTTTCTGTACCATACTGGGGTATATGGTATTACCGGATGTGCACACAAGGGGCACTATTTCAACAACCACCCACAAAACAATTTAGGCAACCGGGATCTTGATCCAGGAGGAGATTGAATGTCTCTGCTGTAACCAAGAAACTTGATTTTGACATCTAGCCACTTGGCTAGCAAGTTAGCGAACCAAATGCATAGCTGGAGCCCTGAGCTGGATATAATTTATTTGACACATCTTAGATTTCTTATAGTTATAAGCAGTGGCGTAGTGCACTGCCCCCGCGATGCGGGTGTTCCCCCAACCCAAAAAACAAAACAAAAGTTTAGAAAATCATACTGTCGGTATTTCGAAATATACCGCTTATACGGTATAAACGGTATATCACCCAATCCTAATTTATATAAGAAATTAGCAACTCGTTCTCATTCTTAGAAATAAGCATCTTATCCCGGTAGGCCACTTGATTTCAATATCTAAACAAAGTGAACATGTTGTTCAAACAGTTGGAGATGGACAGGAGAGTGTATTCTTAACATTTAAACTGTTCTACCATGTTAGCAAGCAAATAGATCCAAGTTTGCTAGACTTGAAATATAAAGTTTTAGCTGGCTACTCATTAGCACGTGGGCTTGTGATTTGTTTATGAGACCTGTGTGAATTTTCTATAATGCCTGCTACAAGAAGTTGGGCACTATTAGTGAATATTCTGGTTACATTTCTACCAAAATGGCATTTTCATAGACTTGAAAGCCAGATCAGTGATTTTGCAAAAAAAATGCAGGATAAACTATTTTGATGAAATTATGAAATGATTAGTGTGTCTTATGGTTGTGGAAGGCTTATATTTAGCCTAGGTATCATATTACAAGCCCTGAATTCATTAAATTATTCTGGACTGTTTGAAATGTTGTGTTTTGACCTTTAATTGTGCAACAAAGCTTATTTAGTGAACATTAAAATCTATATATCGCGACTCGCCCATAAGTTTGAAAAAATGGCATATTTTTTGCCATATCACTCAGCCCTAGTCCAACATCAATGGTGTTCTCTCTCACTTTGCAGACAGAGAGACATTGCCTCATCTTACACCTGCGGGATGTTGTCGGCTTGTCAGACACACGGAGAGAGAACAGCTTTCCCTGGAGCACGATCCACGTGTTAAATCTGAATGACATTTAATCACAACAAGAGCTAAAGGTCTCCTGAATGGCCCCGTGGCTGTATAGTGTTAAATTAAACCTAGCTTAGCTCCTTGTCAACTCTGTTACTGCCCTCTCTTCTCTGAGAGTTCCCTGTCTGTGTAAACCTATTGACAGCATCAAATGAGGTCAGTCTTTGAGATTCAAATTTTGTCCTTTGGTTAGTGTGAGGAAGAAACGCCCCACGGATTTGCCTTTTCCTGATCAGAATTGATAATTGGAACTGTTTACCTTAGCTGAACAAACCATGCTCTGTGTGGTCCCTGAGTTGGCCCTCTGTCCTGTGTTGGAGGAGCACAGGGCCTGTATCCACCAAGCGTCTCAGAGTAGGAGTGCTGTTCTAGGATCTGTCCATATAACTCTTATTCATTATGAGCTAAAAGGCCAAACTGATCCTAGATCAGCATTCCTACTCTGAGACACTTTATGGATACGGGCCCTGGTGTGGAGTCAGGCTGCCATACTGGACTCATTTCTATGAATTGGTGAATGGATAGGCTACAAAACGTTTGCTTCTGGGGGTGCTCTTGAGACAAAAGGGTTCCCATTAATGGACAGACATTCTCCTGAAACTAGGCTAACATACAGGAACTCAAGTCCTTTTGTTCACCCGACCTAGAGTACCTCACAATCAAATGGCGACCGTATTATCTCTCGAATTTTCCTCTGTTATAGCCACGGCAGTTTATATCCCCCATTAAAGCCGATACCACGACGTCCCTCAAAGAACTTCACTGGACTTTATGCAAACTGGAAACCACATCCTGAGGCTGCATTTATTGTAGCTGGGGATTTTAACAAAGCAAATTTGAGGACTAGGCTGCCGAAGTTCTATCAACATATCGATTGTAGTACCCGCGCTGCTAAAACACTAGACCACTGTTATTCAAACTTCTGAGATGCTTACAAGGCCCACCCCCGCCCTCAATTCGGCAAATCTGACCACTACTCCATTTTGCTTCTCCCTTCCTATAGGCAGAAACTGAAACAGGAAGTACCCGTGCTAAGGACTATTCAACACTGGTCTGACCAATCGGAATCCACGCTTTAGGATTGTTTTGATCACTCGGACTGGGATATGTTCCAGGTAGCTTGCGAAAATAATTTTGACGAATACACCGATACCGTAACTAAGTATATCAGGAAGTGTATAGGAGATGTCGTAACCACTGTGACTATTAAAACCTACCCTAACCAGAAACCGTGGATAGATGGCAGCATTCACGCGAAACTGAAAGCACGAACCACCGCATTTAACCATGGTAAGGTGACTAGGAATATGGCAGAATACAAACAGTGTAGTTATTCACTCCGCAAGGCAATCAAACAAGCAAAACGTCAGTATAGAGACAAAGTGGAGTTGCAATTCATGTGGCAGGGTCTACAGACAATCACGGGCTACAAAAGGAAAACAGCCACATCGCCTATACCGACGTCTTGCTTCCAGACAAGCTAAACACCTTCTTAGCCCGCTTTGAGGATAACACAGTGCCAACGACGCGGCCCGCTACCAAGGACTGTGGGCTCTCCTTCTCCGTGGCCGACGTGAGTAAAACATTTAAACGTGTTAACCCTCGCAAGGCTGCCGGCCCAGACGGCATCCCTAGCCGCGTGCTCAGAGCATGCGCAAACCAGCTGGCTGGTGTGTTTACGGACATATTCAATCTCTCCCTATCCCAGTCTGCTGTCCCCACATGCTTCAAGATGGCCACCATTGTTCAGCAAAGGTAACTGAACTAAAAGACTATCGCCCGTAGCACTCACCTCTGTCATCATGAAGTGCTTTGAGAGACTAGTCAAGGATCATATCACCTCTACCTTACCTGCCACCCTTGACCCACTCAGCGATCACTGCCTCATTGCCTGCGTCCGTAATGGGTCCGCGGTCAAATGACCACCCCTCATCACTGTCAAACGCTCCCTAAAACACTTCAGTGAGCAGGCCTTTCTAATTGACCTGGCCCGGGTATCCTGGATGGATATTGACCTCATTCCGTCAGTAGAGGATGCCTGGATGTTCTTCAAAAGTGCTTTCCTCTCCATCTTAAATAAGCATGCCCCATTCAAAAAATTCAGAACTAAGAACAGATTTAGCCCCTGGTTCACCCCAGACTTGACTGCCCTTGACCAGCACAAAAACATCCTGTGGCGTACTGCATTAACATCGAACAGCCCCCGCGATATGCAACTTTTCAGGGAAGTCAGGAACCAAGCTGCTAAATACACAAGCAGTTAGGAAAATAAAGGCTAGCTTTTTCAAACATAAATTTGCATCCTGTAGCACTAACTCCAAAAAGTTTTGGGACACTGTAAAGTCTATGGAGAATAAGAGCACCTCCTCCCAGCTACCCACTGCACTGAGGCTAGGAAACACTGTCACCACCGATAAATCTACAATAATCGAGAATTTCAATAAGCATTTTGCTATGGCTGGCCATTCTTTCCACTTGGCTACCCCTACCCCGGCCACCAGCTCTGCACCCTCTGCTGCAGCTTGCCCCCCCCCCACCCCGCTTCTCCTTCACCCAAATTCAGATAGCTGATGTCCTGAAAGAGCTGCTAAATCTGGACCCCTACAAATCAGCAGGGCTAGACAATCTGGACTCTTTCTTTCTAAAATTAGCCGCCGAAATTGTCGCAACCCCTATTACTAGCCTGTTCAACCTCTCTTTCGTATCGTCTGAGATCCCCAGAGATTGGAAAGCTGCCGCGGTCATCCCCCTCTTCAAAGGGGGTGACACTCTAGATCCAAACTGTTACAGACCTATATCCATCCTGCCCTGCCTTTTGAAAGTATTTGAAAGCTAGTTAACAAACAGATCACTGACCATTTCGAATCCCACCGTACCTTCTCCGCTATGCAATCCGGTTTCCGAGCTGGTTATGGGTGCACCTCATCCAGAAGGAGAGGTCCATACAGGTGCATCAAAGCTGGGACCGAGAGACTGAAAAACAGCTTCTATCTCAAGGCCATCAGACTGTTAAATAGCCATCACTAGCCTATTAGAGGCTGCTGCCTATAGACATAGACTAGAAATCACTTGCCACTTTAAGAAATGGAACACTAGCCACTTTGATAATGTTTACATATCTTGTATTACTCATCTCATATGTGTATATACTGTATTCTATACTATTCTACTGTATCTTAGGCCATGCCGCTCTGACATCGCTCGTCCATATATGTATATATTCTTAATTAATTCCTTACTTAGATTTGTGTGTATTGGGTATATGTTGTGAAATTGTTAGATATTACTTGTTAGATATTACTGCACTGTCGGAGCTAGAAGCACAAGCATTTCGCTACACCCGCAATAACATCTGCTAAACACTTGTATGTGACCAATAAAATGTGATTTGATTTGATGTCATTGGACAGAAATGACACACCTCCCCACACCCATGAGCAAAAGCATAGCCTAAGTATTGTTTGTCTAAAACCTAAGGATTTCTGTGATTTTATGAAATAAGAAATTGATAGTATTATAGGATTATATCACATGTAAATGAACCATACAGCCAACATTCAAGGCAACATTTGATTTTAACCAATTAACTAAACTAGCAACGTAACTTCCATAGTGTATCTTTAAGTTTTTTCTTGTGTACAACTTTTTGTCTATATCTTATCTTGCCCTTATTATCCCCAGGCTCTGCCCATGCAGCTGCTGTGTTGACTGGCATTGGAATGGATGCAATTATAGCCCAGGGGTGACCATTGGCCAATCTTGGTCATGTAGGCAGGAGTAGGAGAGGAGTCAATGCTGGGCTGGACGAAAATAAAGCAATTGTACATGAGAGGGCGTGATAAATGACTTTGTTTTAGCACGGCTGTGCTGTGGTCATAGGTACAAGGCGGCACAAAGTACCGTAGATCAGCACAGCCATGCTAAAAAAGTTGTTTTGCACAACCTCGAGTGTACAATAGCTTTTCTACATTTACATTTACATCATTTAGCAGACGCTCTTATCCAGAGCGACTTACAAATTGGTGCATTCAACTTATGATAGCAAGTGGGACAACCACTTTTTTTCTTTTTTTTCTATGGGGGGGGGGGGGGGGGGGTAGAAGGATTACTTTATACTATTCCAGGTATTCTTTAAAGAGGTAGGGTTTCAAGTGTCTCCGGAAGGTGGTCAGTGACTCCGCTGTCATGGGGGAGCTTGTTCCACCATTGGGGTGCCAGAGCAGCAAATAGCTTTGACTGGGCTGAGCGGGAACTGTGCTTCTGTAGAGGTAGGGGAGCTAGCAGGCCAGAGGTGGATGAACGTAGTGCCCTCGTTTGTGTTTAGGGTCTGATCAGAGCCTGAAGGTAAGGAGGTGCCGTTCCCCTCACAGCTCCGTAGGCAAGCACCATGGTCTTGTAGTAGATGCGAGCCTCAACTGGAAGTCAGTGGAGTGTGCGGAGGAGCGGGGTGACATGAGAGAACATGGGAAGGTCGAACACCAGACGGGCTGCGGCGTTCTGGATAAATTGTAGGGGTTTAATGGCACAGGCAGGGAGCCCAGCCAACAGCGAGTTGCAGTAATCCAGTAAATTCTACAATGCCCCCCCCCCCCAAAAAAAAAAAAAAAATATAGAATATATATCTATATATCTATATATATATATATATATATATATATATATATACACACACACACAGTGAGGGAAAACATTTTTGATCCCCTGCTGATTTTGTACGTTTGCCAACTGACAAAGAAATGATCAGTCTATAATTTTAATGGTAGGTTTATTTGAACAGTGAGAGACAGAATAACAACAAAACAATCCAGAAAAAACACATGTCAGAAATGTTATTAATTGATTTGCATTTTAATGAGGGAAATAAGTATTTGACCCCCTCTCAATCAGAAAGATTTCTGGCTCCCAGGTGTCTTTTATACAGGTAACGAGCTGAGATTAGGAGCACACTCTTAAAGGGAGTGCTCCTAATCTCAGTTTGTAACCTGTATAAAAGACACCTGTCCACAGAAGCAATCAATCAATCGGATTCCAAACTCTCCACCATGGCCAAGACCAAAGAGCTCTCCAAGGATGTCAGGGACAAGATTGTAGACCTACACAAGGCTGGAATGGGCTACAAGACCATCGCCAAGCAGTTTGGTGAGAAGGTGACAACAGTTGGTGCAATTGTTCGCAAATGGAAGAAACACAAAAGAACTGTCAATCTCCCTCGGCCTGGGGCTCCATGCAAGATCTCACCGCATGGAGTTACAATGATCATGAGAACGGTGAGGAATCAGCCCAGAACTACACGGGAGGATCTTGTCAATGATCTCAAGGCAGCTGGGACCATAGTCACCAAGAAAACAATTGGTAACACACTACGCCGTGAAGGACTGAAATCCTGCAGCACACGCAAGGTCCCCCTGCTCAAGAAAGCACATATACAGGGCCATCTGAAGTTTGCCAATGAACATCTGAATGATTCAGAGGAGAACTGGGTGAAAATGTTGTGGTCAGATGAGATCAAAATCAAGCTCTTTGGCATCAACTCAACTCGCCATGTTTGGAGGAGGAGGAATGCTGCCTATGACCCCAAGAACACCATCCCCACTGTCAAACATGGAGGTGGAAACATTATGCTTTGGGGGTGTTTTTCTGCTAAGGGGACAGGACAACTTCACTGCATCAAAGGGACGATGGACGGGGCCATGTACCGGCAAATCTTGGGTGAGAACCTCCTTCCCTCAGCCAGGGCATTGAAAATGGGTCGTGGATGGGTATTCCAGCATGACAATGACCCAAAACACACGGCCAAGGCAACAAAGGAGTGGCTCAAGAAGAAGCACATTAAGGTCCTGGAGTGGCCTAGCCAGTCTCCAGACCTTAATCCCATAGAAAATCTGTGAAGGGAGCTGACGGTTGGAGTTGCCAAACGTCAGCCTCGAAACCTTAATGACTTGGAGAAGATCTGCAAAGAGGAGTGGAACAAAATCACTCCTGAGATGTGTGCAAACCTGGTGGCCAACTACAAGAAACTTCTGACCTCTGTGATTGCCAACAAGGGTTTTGCCACCAAGTACTAAGTCATGTTTTGCAGAGGGATCAAATACTTATTTCCCTCATTAAAATGCAAATCAATTCATAACATTTTTGACATGCGTTTTTCTGGATTTTGTTGTTGTTATTCTGTCTCCCACTGTTCAAATAAACCTACCATTAAAATTATAGACTGATCATGTCTTTGTCAGTGGGCAAACGTACAAAATCAGCAGGGCATCAAATACTTTTTTCCCTCACCGTATATATATATATATATATATAACACACACACACACACAGTGGCTTGCGAAAGTATTCACCCCCTTGGCATTTTTCCTATTTTGTTGCCTTACAACCTGGAATTAAAATGTATTTGGGGGGGGGGGTTGTATCATTTGATTTACACACCATGCCTACCACTTTGAAAATGCAAAATATTTTTTCTTGTGACACAAACAAGAAATAAGACAACAAAAAAAATAGAACTGTACACCAGCGTGCATAACTATTCACCCCCCCAAAGTCAATACTTTGTAGAGCCACCTTTTGCAGCAATTACAGCTGCAAGTCTCTTGGGGTATGTCTCTATAAGCTTGGCACATCTAGCTACTGGGATTTTTTCCCATTCTTCAGGGCAAAACTGCTCCAGCTCCTTCAATTTGGATGGGTTCCTCTGGTGGACAGCAATCTTTAAGTCATACCACAAATTTTCAATTGGATTGAGGTCTGGGCTTTGACTAGGCCATTCCAAGACATTTAAATATTTCCCCTTAAACCACTCGAGTGTTGCTTTAGCAGTATCCTTAGGGTCATTCTCCTGCTGGAAGGTGAACCTCCGTCCCAGTCTAAAATCTCTGGAAGACAAACAGGTTTCCTCAAGAATTTCCCTGTAATTAGCGCCATCCATCATTCCTTCAATTCTCACCAGTTTCCCAGTCCCTGCCGATGAAAAACATCCCCACAGCATATGTTTGCTTATTTTTTTCTTTAAGCAATGGCTTTTTTCTGGCCATTCTTCCTTAAAGCCCAGCTCTGTGGAGTGTATGGCTTAAAGTGGTCCTATGGACAGATACTCCAATCTCCGCTGTGGAGCTTTGCAGCTTCTTCAGGGTTATCTTTGGTCTCTTTGTTGCCTCTCTGATTAATGCCCTACTTGCCTGGTCCGTGAGGTTTGGTGGGCGACCCTCTCTTGGCAGGTTTGTTGTGGTGCCATATTCTTTCAATTTTTTAATAATGGATTTAATGTTGCTCCGTGGGATGTTCAAAGTTTCGCATATTTTCTTTTTTTATAACCCAACCCTGATCTGTACTTCTCCACAACTTTGTCCCTGACCTGTTTGGAGAGCTCCTTGGTCTTCATGGTGCCGCTTGCTTGGTTGTGCCCCTTGCTTAGTGGGGTTGCAGACTCTGCGGCCTTTCAGAACAGGTGTGTGTGTGTGTATATATATATATATACACACACACACACACACACACACACACACACACACACACAGTGGGGCAAAAAAGTATTTAGTCAGCCACTATTTGTGCAAGTTCTCCAACTTAAAAAGATGAGAGAGGCCTGTAATTTTCATCATAGGTACACGTCAACTATGAAAGACAAATTGAGAAAAAAAAATCCAGAAAATCACATTGTAGGATTTTTTATGAATTTATTTGCAAATTATGGTGGAAAATAAGTATTTGGTCACCTACAAAGAAGCAAGATTTCTGGCTCTCACAGACCTGTAACTTCTTCTTTAAGAGGCTCCTCTGTCCTCCACTCGTTACCTGTATTAATGGCATCTGTTTGAACTTGTTATCAGTATAAAAGACACCTGTCCACAACCTCAAACAGTCACACTCCAAACTCCACTATGGCCAAGACCAAAGAGCTGACAAAAGACACCAGAAACAAAATTGTAGACCTGCACCAGGCTGGGAAGACTGAATCTGCAATAGGTAAGCAGCTTGGTTTGAAGAAATCAACTGTGGGAGCAATTATTAGGAAATGGAAGACATACAAGACCACTGATAATCTCCCTCGATCTGGGGCTCCACGCAAGATCTCACCCCGTAGGGTCAAAATGATCACAAGAACGGTGAGCAAAAATCCCAGAACCACACGGGGGGACCTAGTGAATGACCTGCAGAGAGCTGGGACCAAAGTAACAAAGCCTACCATCAGTAACACACTACGCCGCCAGGGACTCAAATCCTGCAGTGCAAGACGTGTCCGCCTGCTTAAGCCAGTAAATGTCCAGGCCTGTCTGAAGTTTGCTAGAGTGCATTTGGATGATCCAGAAGAGGATTGGGAGAATGTCATATGGTCAGATGAAACCAAAATATAACTTTTTGGTAAAAACTCAACTCGTCGTGTTTGGAGGACAAAGAATGCTGAGTTGCATCCAAAGAACACTCAAATCAAATCAAATCAAATCAAATTTTATTGGTCACATGCGCCGAATACAACAGGTGCAGACATTACAGTGAAATGCTTACTTACAGCCCTTAACCAACAGTGCATTTATTTTAAACAAAAAAGTAAGAATAAAACAACAACAAAAAAGTGTTGAGAAAAAAAGAGCAGAAGTAAAATAAAGTGACAGTAGGGAGGCTATATATACAGTAAAATAAAGTGACAGTAGGGAGGCTATATATACAGGGGGTACCGTTGCATAGTCAATGTGCGGGGGCACCGGCTAGTTGAGGTAGTTGAGGTAATATGTACATGTGGGTAGAGTTAAAGTGACTATGCATAAATACTTAACAGAGTAGCAGCAGCGTAAAAAGGATGGGGTGGGGGGGCAGTGCAAATAGTCCGGGTAGCCATGATTAGCTGTTCAGGAGTCTTATGGCTTGGGGGTAGAAGCTGTTGAGAAGTCTTTTGGACCTAGACTTGGCACTCCGGTACCGCTTGCCGTGCGGTAGCAGAGAGAACAGTCTATGACTAGGGTGGCTGGAGTCTTTGACAATTTTGAGGGCCTTCCTCTGACACCGCCTGGTATGGGGGTACCTACTGTGAAGTATGGGGGTGGAAACATCATGCTTTGGGGCTGTTTTTCTGCAAAGGGACCAGGACGACTGATCCGTGTAAAGGAACGAATGAATGGGGCCATGTATCGTGAGATTTTGAGTGAAAACCTCCTTCCATCAGCAAGGGCATTGAAGATGAAACGTGGCTGGGTCTTTCAGCATGACAATGATCCCAAACACCGGGCAATGAAGGAGTGGCTTCGTAAGAAGCATTTCAAGGTCCTGGAGTGGCCTAGCCAGTCTCCTGATCTCAACCCCATAGAAAATCTTTGGAGGGAGTTGAAAGTCTGTGTTGCCCAGCGACAGCCCCAAAACATCACTGCTCTAGAGGAGATCTGCATGGAGGAATGGGCCAAAATACCAGCAACAGTGTGTGAAAACCTTGTGAAGACTTACAGAAAACGTTTGACCTGTGTCATTGCCAACAAAGGGTATATAACAAAGTATTGAGAAACTTTTGTTATTGACCAAATACTTATTTTCCACCATAATTTGCAAATAAATTCATTAAAAATCCTACAATGTGATTTTCTGGATTTTTTTTTCTCATTTTGTCTGTCATAGTTGACGTGTACCTATGATGAAAATTACAGGCCTCTCTCATCTTTTTAAGTGGGAGAACTTGCACAATTGGTGGCTAAATACTTTTTTTCCCCACTGTGTATATATATATATATATATATATATGTATGTATGTATGTATGTGAATGTGTATATATGTATATATATATATGTATATATGTATATATATGTGTATATATATATATATATATATATATATATATATATATATATATATACTTAGATTGCACACAGGTGGACTTTATTTAACACATTTTGTGACTTCTGAAGGTAATTGGTTTCACCAGATCTTATTTAGGGGCTTCATAGCAAAGGGGGTGAATACATATGCACGCACCTCTTTTCTGTTATTTATTTTGTGTAATTTTTTTAAGTTATTTTTTTCACTTCACTAATTTGGAGAATTTTGTGTATGTCCATTACATGAAATCCAAATAAAAATCATTTTAAATTACAGGTTGTAATGCAACAAAATAGGAAAAGCGCCAAGGGGGATGAATACTTTTGCAAGGCACTGTATATAACGTTATTTTGATAAATGTATTCATAGGCTACTATTTCATCCCTCAACGAAAATATAGTTCTGACATTTATGGTTTCTAGCCAAGCCGGCTGACCGTTCATGCTATCAGTTAGTTTGCCAGAGACGCGACCCATTCGTTAAATATTTTTGTTCTATATCTATGGATGCGTCCCAGTCGTTCGTTCTAAATGTTCCGTTGCCATGCTGGCTGGCAACGCTCTTATCCCTTGCTTGCTAGCTAGCAAACAACGGCTAACACAGTCAGGTCAAGCAGCTAGAATAACAGCAAAGTAGCTGCAATTGTGTTTGTTTAAGCTGTTTTGGATACATCCATAACAATGAGCTAATGATGCATGATTTTGCCCGGCATAGAAAATGTGCTCTCTCGTCAGGACACTGTTCAGAGGAGCAAGCCAACTACACCGCTAACGCAATTACTTAAAACTGAAGCTGGTAAGACAGCAAACTAGCTGCATTATGCTGATTCATGATTTCAAATGGCTGAGAAAAGATGTCAGTCTCGTCCTGACATTTTAATTCTCAATAGTACAGCGGAGATCGAATTTCAATATTGAAACTATGTTGCAACTGTCAAGAGACAGATGGCAACTATTGTACAGTGCGTCTCGACCAATCACAATGCTTGTTTTGACCAACCCGTTGTAGAAGCCTGCACTGCACACCTCCAGGCAGGACCGCTATTGGACATCCCTCAAATAAATCCTGCTCATCCTTCCTCTGTGGCTCCTTGGTAACTGACATGTTGTTTTGTTGTTGACCAACAGGTGCAGTTCCAGAAGATCCAACAGCTGCGTCAGACCCAGACCAGGGCCCACTACTATGGAGGCTCCCTGCCCAACGTCAACCAGATCGGCAACGCCAGCGCCGACTTCCAGGTGAGTCCCCCTCCTCAACAATCATGTCCCCTTTTTTTCCCAAAAATGTTTTATATACTGTGTCTTCAGAAAGTATTCATACCCCTTGACTTATTCCACAATTTGTTGTTACATCCTGAATTCAAAATTGATTCATACATTTTTTTGAATCCCAACCATCTACACACAGTACCCCATAATGACAAATTGAAAACATGTTTTTAGAAATTTTTGGAAATGTATTGAAAATGAAATACAGAAATTAATTACACAAGTAATAACCTGCCCAGGGACTGCGGTTGAAAATTAGCCGGCTGGCTAAAACCGGCACTTTTACTGAAACGTTGATTAATGTGCACTGTCCCTGTAAAAATAAACTCAAACTCAAACTCAAGTATTCATACCCCTGATTCAATACTTTGTAGAAGCACCTTTGGTGGCGATAACAGCTGTGAGTCTTTCTGGGTAAGTCTCTGAGCTTTGCACACCTGGATGGACAATATTAGCCCCAAAGTCTTCAAGCTCTGTCAAATTGGTTGTTGATCATTGCTAGAGAACCATTTTCAAGTCTTGCCATAGATTTTCAAGCAGATTTAAGTCAAAACTGTAACTCGGCCACTCTGGAATATTCACTTTCTTCTTGGTAAGCAACTCCAGTGTAGATTTGACCTTGTGTTTTAGGTTATTGTCCTGCTGAAAGGTGAATTCATCTCCCAGTGTCTGGTGGAAAGCAGACTGAACCAGGTTTTCCTCTATGCTTTTGCCTGTGCTTAGCTCCATTCTGTTTATTTTTTTACCCTGAAAAATTCCCCAGTCCTTAATGATTACAAGCATACCCATAACCAATGTTCCCTCTAAGCTGCGTGCAGTAGCCCCGAGACTGCCTCGCAGCTCCCCAGGACTGCTGCGCAGAACAAATATCAGTCCACGGAGAGAAGCACAAGATTGAACTTCACTCAACTTTCTAGAGTTTTCCCTGTTAGTTAACACTATTAACCTTTCCCTTTACTGTGGCAATTGTGATTGAATCAACGCAATATTAGCCACTTTCAATGCAACATACCGAAACAAAACAAACTATGCAAGAGATTTTGTTGTTGGCAGAAAGCATCGGAGTAGGATTGTATTACACACGCCTCAGGCCATACTCTACACAGACCGGTGCAGCGTAACCAATCAGAGCTGCAGTAGTCCTATATGCAAATAGACCATTGCCAAATATGGATCTGTGCCATTTACTTTGAACTGGACTGTGTTTACAGCTGTGGTCATGAGTAGATGCGCTTGTGTTGAGATCAAAGCAAGAGCTGCATGTAGCCACGTGTGCATATTTTGTTCATATCCTTGGCTAGTTAGTGAGTTTTTAGCCCAGTTATAGATAATTTTTTTGTCTGGAATAGGGGTATGAAGACATCTTTGAAAAGCGAGTAGGTAAAGAGCTTTTTTGTGTGCTAAAGGGGAAGTGTTGTATTTTGATACAGGCTTGAATAAGCTAAGTAGCCAATAGGCAGAGGGTAGTATAATCTGTCTGATTCTCTGTAGAAATGGTATGGGAATAATAATGCATTTTATTTTATAAAGTGGTTTCTTCCATCAAACAACACCAACATTTTCAGTCACCTCCTTGTCTGAAGGACATGTGGATAAACATGTTAATGTCAAGCCCTGCATGTTTTTTTTTTCCAAAGGTCTCATGGAATGTAGGCCTACGTTGAACACCACACATTGGCTGCTACTTTAGGCTGAATGATAGAACGGCTATTTCCATGTAAAAATGTTATGGGATGCATTTTTCCATTGTTTTTTGACGCTAGGCCTCTGGTAGGCTTACATTATGATCAAATAGCCACAGTAGCTTTGGCCACTGTTAAAACTGTAACTTAAAGTGGGTACAGCCTCACTGTTCATAGTGAAAGCGCACTGGAAGTTGCACAGAATAATCACAACGTTCAAGTTTGCGTTCAGCAGATCTGAAATTTGCTCAGTGCCAACATTTTTTGGAGGAAACATTGCCCATAACATGATGCAGCAACCACTTGAAAATATAGAGTGTTACTCAGTAAAATGCTCTATTGGAATTGCCTCAAATGTAACACTATTCTTTTTTTTTTTGCAGTATTACTTTAGTGCCTTGTTGCAAACAGACTGCATGTTTTGGAATATTCTTACTTTGGATAGGCTTCCTTTTCACCCTGTCAATTAGGTTAGTATTGTGTAGTAACTACAATGTTGTTTATTCATCCTCAGTTTTCTCCTATCACAGCCAATACACTCTAACTGTTTTAAAGTCACCATTGGCCTCATGGTGAAATGTCCTTCTTCTCCGGCAACTGAGTTAGGAACGACGCCTGCATCTTTGTAGTGTCTGGGTGTATTGACATACCATCCAAAGTGTAATTAATAACTTCTCCATGCTCAAAGGGATATTCAATATCTGTTAGTTTTTTTTGTTTGCGAGGCATTGGAAAACCTCCCTGGTCAAATGTTTGAAATTCACTGCTTGACTGAGGGACCTTACAGATAATTGTATGTGTGGGGTACCGAGATGAGCTAGTCACAATCATCTTAAACACTGTTATTGCACACAGTTCATGCAACTTATGTGACTTGTTAAGCACATTTTTACTCTTGAACTTATTTAGGCTTGCCATATCAAAGGGGTTGAATACTTATTGACTGAAGACATTTCAGCTTTACATTTTGTATTAATTTGTAAACATTTTCGAAAAACATAATTCCCCTTTGACATTATGAGGTATTGTGTGTAGGCCAGTGACAAATCTCAATTTAATCCATTTTAAATTCATGCTGTAACACAACAAAATGTGTAAAAAGTAAAGGGGTTTGAATACTTCCTGAAGGCATCGTATTTATTTATTTATCCAGACGGTACAGTGAGGGGAAAAAGTATTTGATCCCCTGCTGATTTTGTACGTTTGCCCACTGACAAAGAAATGCTCAGTCTGTAATTTTAATGGTAGGTTTATTTGAACAGTGAGAGACAGAATAACAACAAAGAAATCCAGAAAAACGCATGTCAAAAATGTTATAAATTGATTTGCATTTTAATGAGGGAAATAAGTATTTGACCCCTCTGCAAAACATGACTTAGTACTTGGTGGCGAGACCCTTGTTGGCAATCAGAGGTCAGACATTTCTTGTAGATGGCCACCAGGTTTGCACACATCCCAGGAGGGATTTTGTCCCACTCCTCTTTGCAGATCTTCTCCAAGTCATTAAGGTTTCGAGGCTGACATTTGGCAACTCGAACCTTCAGCTACCTCCACAGATTTACTATGGGATTAAGGTCTGGAGACTGGCTAGGCCACTCCAGGACCTTAATGTGCTTCTTCTTGAGCCACTCCTTTGTTGCCTTGGCCGTGTGTTTTTGGGTCATTGTCATGCTGGAATACCCATCCACGACCCATTTTCAATGCCCTGGCTGAGGGAAGGAGGTTCTCACCCAAGATTTGATGGTACATGGCCCCGTCCATCGTCCCTTTGATGCGGTGAAGTTGTCCTGTCCCCTTAGCAGAAAAACACCCCCAAAGCATAATGTTTCCACCTCCATGTTTGACGGTGGGGATGGTGTTCTTGGGGTCATAGGCAGCATTCCTCCTCCTCCAAACACGGCGAGTTGAGTTGATGCCAAAAAGCTCAATTTTGGTCTCATCTGACCACAACACTGTCACCCAGTTCTCCTCTGAATCATTCAGATGTTCATTGGCAAACTTCAGACGGGCATGTATATGTGCTTTCTTGAGCAGGGGGACCTTGCGGGTGCTGCAGAATTTCAGTCCTTCACGGCGTAGTGTGTTACCAATTGTTTTCTTGGTGACTATGGTCCCAGCTGCCTTGAGATCATTGACAAGATCCTCCCGTGTAGTTCTGGGCTGATTCCTCACCGTTCTCATGATCATTGCAACTCCACGAGGTGAGATCTTGCATGGAGCCCCAGGCCGAGGGAGATTGACAGTTATTTTGTGTTGTCACCTTCTCACCAAGCTGCTTGGCGATGGTCTTGTAGCCCATTCCAGCCTTGTGTAGGTCTACAATCTTGTCCCTGACATCCTTGGAGAGCTCTTTGGTCTTGGCCATGGTGGAGAGTTTGGAATCTGATTGATTGATTGCTTCTGTGGACAGGTGTCTTTTATACAGGTAACAAGCTGAGATTAGGAGCACTCCCTTTAAGAATGGGCTCCTAATCTCAGCTCGTTACCTGTATAAAAGACACCTGGGAGCCAGAAATCTTTCTGATTGAGAGGGGGTCAAATACTTATTTCCCTCATTAAAATGCAAATCATAGTATATAAATGTTTTTACATTGGTTTTTTTGTTGTTATTCTGTCTCTCACTGTTCAAATAAACCTACCATTAAAATTATAGACTGATCATTTCATTGTCATTTGGCAAACGTACAAAATCAGCAGGGGATCAAATACTTTTTTCCCTTTTTTATAAAATCAGATGAGGTACCAGGAAGTGAACCCCGGTCTCTGGCGTGGGGATAACTTGTGGACTAGAGTTGACGGTGTTACACCCTGAGCCAAACTCAGGCACTGGGTACCATGACCCGTCAGTAATTTTAATATTCTACAAGTCTGGCAAGCTAGACTAAGTAGTAAGGTACAACAGTGTTATGGAACTTTTGGATATAAATATTTTATGTACGGTAAGGTCTAAGTTTTCACTGCTTGGTATGGACTTCAAGCTGACAGAGCATGTTCCCCTGCTGTAGCAGATAAAATGGCTAGATCATTTTTGTAAATTAAAAACAATATTAATGTAGACTTACAGGGATACTTCTGCATTTTGGGAATGAGGCCCTTTATCTACTTCCCCAGAGTCAGATGAACTTGTGGATACCATTTTTATGTTTCTGTGTCCAGTAAGAAGGAAGTTGGAGGTAGTTTTGTGAGTCAATGTTAACTAGCGTTAGCGCAATGACTGGAAGTCTATGGGTATCTACTATACCTAGGCCTCCATTCGACGTGTTTGGTCATTACTTCTATGGCCAATTATTTTTTTTATTCACCAACTAGACATTCAACCAAGAAAGGGCCGCAAGATTGGGTTGAGTAGCCCCATTGTCCTCGCACCCAGCAACAGCACACATGTACATTTACTGTAAAAACCACAGTATGTTTGATGCACATTTACCGTAAAAACTACAGTATGTGTGACAGTTTCTGGAAAAGGAGACTCGCCTTGTCTCTGTTAGGCAGTAATTACAAGGTCCCTCTCAACAAATCCAGGCCAGACCACAATGACCCCCTAGATGCACACGCACATGGCGCTCCGCACAGTACAGTACAGCACTATACTTTCAGAAATTCAAAACAGCAAGCCTCTCTTGAGAACTCCAACTAAATAATTCAGATGTTAATCTTACCCAGACAAGCAACAACAAAATACAGAGATCTGTTCTCTGGCTTTGGTCTGTCTCGTTCAGCCCCAGAAGAAACACACAGAGTGGGTGAATGTGATAGCGCTGTAGCTGCCCACGTGGGATTGCTTGTATTGGTTTCAGTCCTCAGAGGATAGAGGGGAGAGCGCTAACGTTAGCCTAGATGTGTATTCTACAATACAGTAGCTCCAGGTAAAAGTGCCCTTGTGTTGAAGAATGGCTCTTTTGAGGGGTGGGAGCAGTGATCTCTGGATCTAGTTCTGCATTCCAAATGGTACCCTATTCCCTTTTATAGTGCACTACTTTAGACCAGATCCCTATGGGCCCTGGTCAAAGGTAGTGCACTATAAAGGGAATAGGGTGCCATTTGGGATGCAGGCCTAGAAACCAGACTTGATATCACAGTAGAAAAACATAGCTCTTTCCCCCTTAGGGATGCTAGTACAGGTTTAATGGACCTGGCTGCACTTGATCCTAATCATTTGTTAGTGCTCATTGTAACAGTAGGGATGTCCTTTTGGTTAGGGTTTGAGTGTTTTAATGAATGATATCTGTCTGAAATCAAGGAGTAAAAGTAGGTTGTTAGTCATGTAGTACCTACACACTGTAGACAGAATTAAAGCTGTTATTTTTGTTCTTGTCTGTCTCTCTGTCTGCCCCAGTCGGTTTCTCTGTCTCTCTGTCTCTCATAATAGTATTACAAAAGTGAGAATAATAACAATAGTAATACTGGTACTAGTTGTAACATCATTACTAATCATGGAATAGTAATAGCATGGAAAAGCTTATTTAGCTACAGACTGTCCCTCAGGCTGTGGCAGGAGACCAAGTATTTGGCTGCCAAAACATTTTGGTTCGTCTCTCTCTCATATTAACATCCCCCCCCTCTCCCTCTTCCTCAGGGTGGCTTCCCAGGGGCCTTGGACAGTGTCAGGGGGACACGTCACCATGGCCTGGTGGAGAGGGTGCACCGGGACCGCAACCAACGCATTAACTTGCCTCACCGCCGGCCCATCGACAAGCACGGACGGCAGATATCCTTCCACTACCACAAGTAGTACCAGTAGGAACCAGTTACCGGTAGTATTTAGTAGCAACTAGTGTCTAGCAGTAACTCGTACATATAGAAACTAGTACCAGTAGTACGTAGTGAACTTACCAGTAGTAACTATTACCACACTTAGTACCAGTGCAACATCTGAGGCCCTCAGAAATGTGTTTTGCTTCTAAAATGTCAGAATTCTCACACGCATGTTGACAAAGCTGATGAAACCTGTAACAACGGTTTACGACTAATAAATGCCATGATTTGTCAGTAACTGTCAATCAATACATTACATCTGAATTTCAGCATAGAGGTTCATGTTGTGGCCTATGCAGAGGGGCGCACAACCCTTGTTGTGCCATTGGACTACAGTGTAGCTTACCCAGCATGTAATGTGCTCTTAAAATGCATATCTATGGAATTGTTGATTGCACTTTTCCACTAGACATTTATTTTACTGTTGTTTTAACAGGGAGTCACCATTGAGACCAAGGTTTATTTTACAAGGAAGCAAATACAATGTAAAATATTGTTGCAGCCATAAGGTGGTTGCACTGTTGGTCTTTGCCGTGTGTCCTTTTGGCAGGTTTGTGTGTGGTGTAAATTTGTGTGTGCTCGCTGACCTTTGCTAGTGTGGGCAGAGTGTTGTTAAAGCCCAAGGCTCAGTTAGTCATTATAAAAACATAAAATATAATGCATTGTGCCAGTCACTGACAGTACGGCTTAATGGACATTGACATTGGTGGGAGATTTTGGATGGGAGAGATAGTGTGTGTGTGTGTGTTACTGTGTGTTACGGGGCGGCAGGTAGCTTAGTGGTTAAGAGCGTTGTGCCAGTAATCGAAAGGTCGCTGGTTCTAATCCCCGAGCCGACTAGGTGAAAAATCTGCCGATGTGCCCTTGAGCAAGGCACTTAACCCTAATTGCTCATGTAAGTCGCTCTGGATAAGAGCGTCTGCTAAATGACGTAAATGTAAATGTTACTGCAGTGATTCCCCTATATTAATTTAGCAGAGGCGATCCACCGCTGTTAAATCGCTGCCGCCACTGATAAAATAAATATATGTAATTTTTGGATGTTAATGTTTTCAAAGTAATCTTAAACAACATACACTCACCAACCAGTTTATTAGGTGCACCCATCTAGTACCGTGTTGGACCCCTCTTTGCCTCCAGAACAGCCTGAATTCTTCGGGGGCATTCTACAAGGTGTCGGAAACATTCCACAGGGATGTTGGTCCATGCTGACGCGATGGCATCACGCAGTTGCTGCAGATTGGACGGCGGTACATTCATGCTGCGAACTGCCCGTTCCATCTGGGGATTGCGCAGGCCACTCAAGGAAACTGAAATCCCTGTCATGTTCCAGGTGATGTTTTTCCACTCCTCAATTGTCCAGTGGTGATCGCGTGCCCACTGGAGCCGCTTCTTCTGGTTTTTAGCTGATAAGAGCGGAACCCGGTGTGGTCATCTGCTGCGCTAGCCCATCCTCAACAAGTTCTGTGCTTATTTGGCTGTTTGTGGCCCGCCTGTTAGCTTGCACGTTTCTTGCCATTCTCCTTCAACCTCTATCATCAACAAGCTGTTTTCGCCCACAGGACTGACTGGATGTTTTTCAGATGATTCTCGGTAAACCCTAGACACCGTCATGCGTGAAAAGCCCAGGAGGGCGGCAGTTTCTGAGATACTGGATCCGGCGCACCTGGCATCGACGATCATACCATGCTCAAAGTTGCTTAGGTCACTTGTTTTGCCCATTCTAACGTTCAATCGAAAAGTTAATGAATGCATCAATGCCTGCTTTATATAGCAAGCCACAGCCACGTGACTCAATGTCTGTAGGAGCGATCCGTTTTTGTGAACTGGGTGTGTACCTAATAAACTGGCCGGTGAATGTATGTAGGAAAGGAAAATGGAGCCATATATTTTTTTGTAAGATCATCTTTGAGAACTAACAATCACCAAAATAAAAACTAGACAGTTAGGGAGAATGTAAAAATATAAAAATGTCATAACATGGGGCCTCCATGACATGGCATAAGCCACGGAAAAATTTGTATAATTGCAGGAAATTTGCTTTAAAACTGCACATTTTCGGTTTCTAACTGTGTGGGTTAGTAGGAGGAGTGATGTGGGTCTGCGAGCTCGAACGCTCAAATTCTCAAAGTAGTGAAAGGAGAAAGGATGGTCTTTCTTTGGAAACACCAGCTATCAGTCAGCCCTTTCAGAAACCCTTTCTTCAAGCACTGTCTCCGAGCCAGTATATTCTATAATAATAATAATATGCCATTTAGCAGACGCTTTTATCCAAAGCGACTTACAGTCATGTGTGCATACATTTTTACGTATGGGTGGTCCCGGGGATCGAACCCACTACCCTGGCGTTACAAGCGCCATGCTCTACCAATTGAGCTACAGAGGACCACACCCTACTCAATTGTGTGGTTTGCTTGTGTTACACTGTTTTCACACGATGCAAAGAAAGACTGAGTCGGTGAGTAAGTGGAGGGAAAGAGCAAGTGAATAAGCAGGGCCTAACACCCGCCAAATGTGGGTCGATTTTAGCATTTGAGGGTAAGATGTCTATTTCATCAGCCACGTTGGTGGGTCGGTGGGTGGTCAGGGCTCCGCAGTGCGAGCATTTCACATTTCACTCGTATTTGTGAATAAAAATAGTCAGTATGTGGTCCTCTGTAGCTCAGCTGGTAGAGCACGGCGCTTGTAACGCCAAGGTAGTGGGTTCGATCCCCGGGACCACCCATACACAAATAATGTATGCACGCATGACTGTAAGTCGCTTTGGATAAAAGCGTCTGCTAAATGGCTTATTATTATTATTATTATTATTATTATTATTATTATTATATCATATTTATAGCAAAATAAATGCTGCTGTAGCTGTTTAAAAAGTATTTCTGCCTCGTGCTGCAACACTGCCTGGCTGGGGGCTGTGCTGTGAAGAGCATAAAAGTTGGTCTAATTTACTTGAAATGAAAGTCTACTGAAGTGAGACTTTGTCCTTGTGTTTCTTGGCTATTTACATTGTTCTGTTCACATGCTAGGTTGTTGGAGTTTCAGCTGCTAGGGAAGAGAAGCAACGCGGATACTAGTCGGACTCAATCTCACAGGCACAAAACATGACTCGCATTGCATTACCACGGTAACCTCCCGCCCTGAAGGGGCAGGTGAAATGTTTTGTCTCATCTGTGATATTTTGGTTAAAAGACTCGGGACACAAAAAAGGAAAGAAATTGAACAATATACCACTTCACTTCTTACTAGTAATGGTTGAGAACTTGACTGAGAATGTAGTACTTACTGTTGCTAGCAGATCAAGTTCTGGGAAGTTGTCTACTGTTGGTCTTGGAGATGGGGGTGTGTGAGTAAGGGAAAGAGAAGAGAGGGGGGAGAGTGTGCGTTCACGTGCCACTCTGTGTGTGATCTCGCCGGGCTGCAGCAGCAGAGAGTGTAAGTCTTTGGTTTTGAAGGATATTTCATCTGGACGACTCCCTGTTAGCCTGTGGCAAATAATGTTGATAAGTTATTCCGAGTGAGGCATGCGTGCACGAACACACACACATACAGTTGAAGTCGGAAGTTTACATACACTTAGGTTGGAGTCATTAACTTGTTTTTCAACCACTTCACACTTTTCTTGTTAACAAACTATAGTTTTGGCAAGTCGGTTAGGACATCTACTTTGTGCATGACACAAGTAATTTTTCAAACAATTGTTTACAGACCAGATTATTTCACTTATAATTCACTATCACAATTCCTGTGGGTCAGAAGTTTACATACACTAAGTTGACTGTGCCTTTAAACAGCTTGGAAAATTCTAGAAAATGATGTCATGGCTTTAGAAGCTTCTGATAGGCTAATTGACATCATTTGAGTCAATTGGAGGTGTACCTGTGGATGTATTTCAAGGCCTACCTTCAAACTCAGTGCCTCTTTGCTTGACATCATGGGAAGATCAAAAGAAATCAGCCAAGACCTCAGAAAAAACATTGTAGACCTCCTCAAGTCTGGTTCATCCTTGGGAGCAATTTCAAAATGCCTGAAGGTACCACGTTCATCTGTACAAACAATAGTACGTAAGTATAAACACCATGGGACCACGCAGCCGTCATACCGCTCAGGAAGGAGACGCGTTCTGTCTCCTAGAGATGAACGTACTTTGGTGCAAAAAGTGCAAATCAATCCCAGAACAACAGCAAAGGACCTTGTGAAGATGCTGGAGGAAACGGGTACAAAAGTATCTATATCCACAGTAAAACAAGTCCTATATCGACATAACCTGAAAAGCCGCTCAGCAAGGAAGAAGCCACTGCTCCAAAAACGCCATAAAAAAGCCAGACTACGGTTTGCAACTGCACATAGGGACAAAAGATCAAACTTTTTTGGAGAAATGTCCTCTGGTCTGATGAAACAAAAATAGAACTGTTTGGCCATAATGACCATCTTTATGTTTGGAGGAAACTGGGGGGCCGAAGAACACCATCCCAACCGTGAAGCACAGGGGTGGCGGCATCATGCTGTGGGGGTGCTTTGCTGCAGGAGGGACTGGTGCACTTCACAAAATAGATGGCACCATGAGGAAGGAAGCTTATGTGGATATATTGAAGCAACATCTCAAGACATCAGTCAGGAAGTTAAAGCTTGGTCGCAAATGGGTCTTCCAAATGAACAATGACCCCAAGCATACTTCCAAAGTTGTGGCAAAATGGCTTAAGGACAACAAAGTCAAGGTATTGGAGTGGCCATCACAAAGCCCTGACCTCAATCCTATAGAAAATGTGTGGGCAGAACTGAAAAAGCGTGTGCGAGCAAGGAGGCCTACAAACCTGACTCAGTTACACCAGCTCTGTTAGGAGGAATGGGCCAAAATTCACCCAACTTATTGTGTGAGGCTTGTGGAAGGCTACCCGAAACGTTTGACCCAAGTTAAACAATTTAAAGGCAATGCTACCAAATACTAATTGAGTGTATGTAAACTTCTCACCCACTGGG